AGTACCAAACATGGTCTATAGCAGGATATTTGGTAGCGAAGATGATGCTGGAGGATCCTTCGCACTTGGGAATGATTTCCCTGGAAGAGGACAAGCAGATGAAGCCAGTGATTAAGAGATCTTCTTCTTGGACTTGCTGAATAAATCCCGACAGTAGAAAAAAAGACCAGAGAATCGAACAGAGAACACAAGTGAGATTAGCTTGTTCTTACGCCGATATTCTTTTGGTGATTTGCATCTTGTAGGTTTGTTTTGAACCCTTCTGAAAGTTTGGTTTTGTGTACAATAGCAATTGCTAAATTGAGATCAAAGCTTTCCTTCGTGAAATCCATACCAGATCACTAGTTGTTGTTTTTGCTCGAGCCTCGCATCCGAAGAATTTCTACGTCGTGCGTCGCTTCGAAAAATTTCAGCTTCGCATCCGCTTCCGAAAATTTCTCCGTCTGCGTCGAATAATTTCAGCGTCCGAGTCTCGTAACTTAGATTATGTGGGTCTTCAATAATGTATTTACTACCTTGTAAAGTCTGAAAAACTTCCTTCCGAGCTTCCATAATATATATACATTCCTGGAATAGAATAGTTCGTAATAAGTATCGATTTACAATAACTGGAAGGTTTTGTCAACTTCAAAATCAATAGGAGTTTTCTCAACATGTTCCCTTTGTTGACATTTGCTAGTGATTTGGTCGTGAAAATGCTGGTCTTTCTGTGAATTTCCTTGCATCTTGTGGGTTGCAGTCTTGTTATTGAAAGTGCTCGTCCCGCTCGCTGCTAGCCTTTTGTCGCTCGCCACTCGGGCGTTCGGTCCGGTCGGAACCCATTGGGTCGGTTGGTCCCGGGTTAAACCTGGTACAAAAATGAAATAAAAATTATCGGTTGGTCCCGGGTTGACCCTGGACGGACCGAACCCATGGGTCGGTCCGGTCCTCGGTCCCTAGGCTCAATAGGGTCGGCCCTCGGTCCCAAAATTGAGGACCAACACGTGCGGGTTGGTCCTAGGGTTAGGGTGGACCGGCCCAACCGGACCATGCTCACCCCTAGTCACTATTGTGTGACGCGGATAGGGCCTGCAAGCTCTCGCCGCCACCCTGTCGAGGGTCGCCGCTGAAGCACAACAGTCCCATGGTCTTGTTTTTTTGGTTTCTTTTTCTAATCCTTAATATTTTTTTCCTTTTATCCTTTTTTTATCTTTTTTTAATTATTGTCCTTTTCTTGTTTTTATTTTTAAATTTTAAATTTTTTCTAAAGAGGCGTGACGCTTGGACGCTACATCGGTACACATGTCTTCAGAAAATAATAAAAAAATCATGTCGGCCTTTTTTGCTGTTTAAATTGGACAAAGTAAATAAAAGAAATTGATTAAACCAATTTGACAAATTAACGACTTAATTGTACTAAGGATTCAATTACACTTTTACAATAAGTTTCTAGAATTTTCAATACATTTATCTCATATTTTTATGGGGAAAATTATCTAAAAAGTCCTAAACCTTTGCACTTTTGTCAATTTAATTCTAAAACTTTCAATTTTGCCAATTGAGCCCTAAGCCTTTTCGCCTTTTACCAACTAAGTTCATCCTGCTAAAATTTGGCCAGAAATTACTAACATAGACTCCATGCATCATATTGGCACGTCCAGCGCTGATGTTGACAAATTTTAATAATATTTTTCGATTTTTTACTATTTTCTTTTGTCTTTCTTTTTTTTTTTCCTTTTGCTGATGACCGGCCACCAAGCGCAAGCGATGGTTGGGTGAACTGGCCTCGCCTGAACAACGGTCGCTGTCACCCGCCACAAGCGAGGCTCGGGTGGGCGAGAGCTCACCACAGCAAGGGTCAAGCTCACCCTCACCCGGCTGGGCCTTTCCTATGGCAGGCGAGGCTAGCCCGCCAGCCATGGTCGAGGTCGGCCACCAATAAAAGGAAGAAGAAATGAAATAAATAAATAAAAATCAAAATAAAAAAATTAAAATATTATTAAATTTTGTCTACGTGCAGCACTAACTGTGATAGTCAACATCTACGTTAGCAATTTCCAGCTAAAATTGGCCAAATAGACTCAATTGGCAAAATTAAAAGGTTTAGGACTAACTTGATAAAAGTGCAACAGGCTTATGACTTTTTAGATAATTTCCCTATTTTTATGAGATAAGTACATTAGAAGTCCTTAAACTTGTCACGAAAGTGTAATTAAGTCCTAAAATTTTCAAAAGTGCAATAAAGTTCGAAAACTTGTCATGAAAGTGTAATTGATCTAATCAAGTCTTTCTGTTGCTTGCATTATTTGAAAATTTTAGAACTCGATTATACTTTCGTGACAAGTTTTAGGACTTGATTGCACTTTTAAAAGTTTTAGGACTTAATTGTATATTCGTGATAAGTTCTAAGACTTTCAATGCAGTTACCCCTATTTTTATTTAGGGTGTTAAGCCCACACGTGTCAAAAAAGAAAGAAAAAAAGATAAAAAGGTGAAGTGTTACACATATTTAACATGTTTAATCATGTTAAAAAGATGACATGTTAACACGTTATTAATAATGTCCATTGGTGTTTAAATGAGTTAAGCGTATCAACTCCTTTAAGACAATTTGTGTCGGGTCTTAAATAAGTTGATCCATTCGCAACGTGAACTCATTTATGGCTAATCTAAACCTATTTAGCTATGTATCATATCGTGCAAACGGACCGTGTCAAGAAGTGACGGCTACAATATTGTTCGGTACAATGGATGTACTTTGGAAGCGCCACCCAATGGACATTCACCTTAAAGAAAAATTCTTCATAAACCAGTGCTCCAGAAAGAATGGGAAAGAGTAGATTTTCTCCGGGCCAATTCCTAAAAACCCACTTTAGCCTTTGTCCAATTATATCCCAAAATTTTTTTGTCTCATAAAAACCCCAAACTTTTGCTTTTGTCCCAAATCTACCCGTTTACTATTCATCCATTTTTTAATATTATTTTTATTTTTTCGAATTTTTCTTTTCTTTTCTTTTTTGTTTCACCTTCAACCTCTCCGGCCGTCGCCGTCCGGCGACGGCCGTAGGCGAGGGTCGGCGAGGTCGGCCCCGCGCCGTTCTTGGCGAGCTCGGCCTCGCCGTTGCCTTGGGCGAGGCTCGGCCCGCCGGACCGGGGCGAGGTCGGCCTCGCCGTTGCTGGCGAGGTCGGCCGAGGTTGAACCTGCCGCTTGCCGGGCGAGGCCCTGACCTCGCCAGTGCCGGAGGCCGAGCCTCGCCAGATCTGGGCGAGGCCGACCTCGCCGGCGGCCGGCGGGCCGAGCCTCGCCGTATCTCGGTGAGGGTCCGCCGCGGCCTGGCGAGGCTCGCCTCGCCCAAAGAACGGCGCGAGGTCGACCGCCATCGGCCCCGTCGCGCCGGCGAGGTCCGCCGAGGCCGAACCGCCGTTGCCGAGCGAGGCCGACCTCGCCCGGTGGGCCGAGCCTCGCTAGATCGCGAGGCTCGGCCTGCCGCCGTTCTGCGGGCGAGGCCGACCTCGCCGGCGGCCGGCGGGGCCGATGGCAAGGCCGAGCCTCGCCAAGCAACGGCGGGCCGACCTCGCCGGTCCTCGCCTCTGGCGGCCTGCCGGGCGACCGGCCGGAGGTTGAAGGTGAAAAAAAAAAGAAAAGAAAAGAAAAAGAAAAAAATTCGAAAAATAAAAATAATATTAAAAATTGGATGAATAGTAAACGGGGTAGATTTGGGACAAAAGTAAAGTTGGGGTTTTTATGAGACAAAAAGTTTGGGATATAATTGAGACAAAGGCTAAAGGATGGTTTTAGGAATGACGATTTTTCTCGAATTTTTAGGTTCCATGGCAAACCTTTTCTAAGGCAATTATAGGTGTCAAAATGGGTTGACAACCCATTTATTAAACCATATATGATGAACCACTGGGGTTTGCCCCAATAGCCACCATTTCTACTTGGGAAGGGGCAGGTGAGGAATTTCTCATCTTCTCAAAGGAGGTTAGGGGTGAGAACGTTTAGTTTCAGATTTGGGTTTCAACTCCCATGCTTTGTAAAGAGGCAAATCAAAAGTCTGAGAGTGATTTGAAAGTTAGAGTGGAACAGACGAATAAAAAAACCATATATGATGATGCTCGATAGAAAAAAAAAATCATATACGATGAGTAAGGTCATATATGCGTTAGCTAAATTATGCTAGATGGATTGAGTAATAAAGTCCCATAAAACGTGGGTTTTTAATGGGTCTAAAGCCCAACTCACCAGCAATCCCCTTCACTTGTCTTTAAGTTTGGGTTGGGGGTTTGCCAGCGAGGCAACTTATTTTCTAGTTTTATCTTCTGCTTATGATTCTTCTTCTTTTTCAAAATTGAAAAATAGTAAAAAATTTATGATCTTTCATGCTTTAGAAAATTGTGAAAATTAATATATGATTTTATGTGCCAATATTTATTAACTTATTCATTTTAAGAGATGTTGGATAATCACTGTGAAATTCGAAAAATCTGCAATAAAAAGAAAGTCGACCTTATAAATATAATAAAAAATTTATCTTGTACACACTAGATGCATAATGTAAAAAGTTCTTGTTTTATAATATTTATGTGGTTTAGTAACGTGGGTCAAGTCGAATATGGATTGGATACGAGTCGGGTATGAGTAATTGAATTTATATTGCATATAAATATGTCAAAACAAGTTAAACAGATCGATTTGGGTTGGATTATTTTCAACCCAACCAACTCATTTGTATAGCTCTAAAGGCAATGTAGCAATAATGAACTAGAAACAGCCCAATTTAGGATTGGCCTGAACGATGGGACCTGCTCAGAAAAGAAAAGCAAAAGAACTATTATCATCGTCATCAGCATGTAGTCGCAATTACACACTTAAATATTATAAGCTAAAAAAGGCCACATCAATCAAGCTCGCCTCCGCTCTTTGGGGGAAAATATATGGATTCCACATCAATTATACGTACTTAATATCGTTATCATCATTGTCATTGTGTACTAACCCTCGAACTTGAGGGGAGAGAGAGAGAGAGAGATGGAGGGGAGAGCGAGGGGTCTCCTGCCGTTTGTGGGGATGATAATGGTGGTTCTGGCTCAATCGAGCAACGTGGTGGTGATGAAAATGGCCATGTCCGATGGGATCAACAAGTGCACCATGGTCTTTTACAGCAACGCCCTCTCCTCTCTCGTCCTCCTTCCTTGTCCCTTCATCATCTCTCGCAGACTTGTGCCCGGTCTGTCACTCATCAGCTCCATTAATGTCGGGTTTAAAGGAAAAGGAAGGTTTTTAGTCCTTGTCTTGTTTGTTTGCTCTGTTTCGCAGGTCAGGGTCGTGTCCTCCTCTCACTTTCGCTGTACTTGGCAAGATCTTCTTGCTCGCTCTGGTTGGGTGAGTGAGTGATCGGGATTTGCTTTTCTCTTGGAATTCTTTTGATATGAAGCAAAAGGTGTTAATCAACTGCTGAGAGTTTCATACAGAAAAACAGAGTCGATTTTCGAAGTAATTTGAATGGTGATGCAGATTCGGATCACAGATGTGCGGGTATGTCGGCATCGATTACAGCTCCCCTGTTCTGGGCACTGCCATGATGAACCTCATCCCAGCTTTCACTTTCATTCTCGCCATGTTTTCGAGGTTCTTTGACTCTTCTTTCTCGTTATCTGGAGTGCACTTAAAGAGCCTTCACTTGACAGAATGAGAGAAGCAGATGATGGTATGTAGATTGGATGTTGGGGTGATGAGTTTATCTAGGTCCAGCTTAAAGTTGCGAGTGCTTCTTATCGAGTCTGACCCAAAAGAAAAATGCGTAGTTTCCGGAGAGACTATGAATAGTACTATAGCTTTATTTCTGATGATGCTGAGTCCCTTCAAAACCTAAAATCAAGAAAGGCCAGCGCTTCAGCAGGTGGAGGCTGCACATTCATAGAAAAACACAAAAGAACGGCAGCGCACACTAGGTCGATGACCATGAAACAAGAAAATCTTATTCTGCTCTGTAATTTGTTCATCGATTGCAAATTAGGATGGAGAAAGTGAATTGGAAAAGCTCAAGCAGCCAAGCTAAGCTTGTGGGAACCATCGCGTCAATTCTTGGTGCATTTGCAGCCACTCTCTACAACGGTCCACCGATTCTCCACTTGCCTTCTGCTCCTCCTTCTGTCCAACCTCGTCGCCTTCTTTTTCTTCTCTCGCAGCAATCGAATTGGATTCTTGGCGGGTTTCTCGTCGCGGCTGAAGCTTTCTTGATATCATTATGGTACATTATACAGGTTAGAACAGAGCACTTACTTTTCCTTAGAATACAAATGACACTACAAAAAAGCGAAAGAAGACTAGACAAGTAAAAAAAAAAAAATCTCGAATCTCGCAGGCATTTATCCTCAAAGATTATTCTGTGGTGCTGAACATGATGTTCTATGTAATGTTCTTTTTGACAATTCTTTCCAGGCTATTGTCCTTCGTTATGGTGAGAGAACCACAGTCATGGATTCTGAAAGTGGACGTGGGTTTGATCGCTATTTTATACTCGGTAAGCATGTGATATCGCAACTCCTAGAGTCTAGATTTTGGTCTGACTTCGAGGTTGAAGATAAAGATCAGATTATCATTGTATATGCAGGCTTTGGTTTCTGGTGTCTTCAGAGTCACATTGAGTACATGGTGCCTCGAGAGAACTGGACCTGTTTTTGTCTCCATGTTCCAACTTTTGGGAATTGCATTTGCTGTAGGATTGGGGTTCATATTTCTCGGCGAAACGTTATACCTTGGAAGGTACAAGTACTCTCTCTTCTTTTCTAATGTCTGTAGCCCATCTTTTCCTACAATCAAGAACGTAGTTGATTGAAAGAAATCAAGAAAGATGTGTTCATCAGAAGAAAAAGCTCCTTCATGAGCTCATTCTTCTCAAGCACAGCAACATATATCCTTCAGATATAAAGCATAAATCGCTTTGCTCTTCAGTTTAACTTTTTAGACCAAACGGTGTTTCTGGTTTTGTGCAGTTTGATCGGACCGATTGTGATTGTGATGGGATTCTTCGCGGTAGTGTGGGGAAAGTCCAAAGAGGAAGAGAAGACAATCGAGGGGAGTGGGGTTGGGGGGAGCTTGGCATCCTCCAGCCACAAGATTCCTCTGCTCCAAAACACAGCTTCAAGTGTGTGGATATCTGTACATGTTCATAGAGACACTACCCTTTTGTCCTTTGGTATGAACTCTAATTGAGTATTTCAACGGGCCGATCTTGTTGGAAGAGCGCAGCTGAAGTCCAAATACCTTCGCCCGAAGAGATCGCTAAAGGAGAGCTCAAGTCCGAACTCATCGATATATCCGGTTATAACCAAATTCACTCAAAAACCTAAGCCAATAAATTATGGGTTAACAAGTATATATTAACTGCTCCAAACCACACAAATTCTCCAATGTAGAACTTTTCTAACATAATCCACACATGCATATAAAAAAAAATAAAAGCATTACCAAAATAATTGATGAATTCTGAGAAAATTTTGACTGTCATCCTCGCTTTGGTGCACCCATTCATGTGCACACCCACTTATGATGTTTTAAAGAGTCGTTTGCAAATTTACACGTCTAGACATTCTGTGAAAAAGAAAAACAGAAAATGTAAAACTCAAACCGCTACATTTTATTCCGGTTTTGGGCATTTAACTTAGATTAGAGCCAAAGGGACGGGGCTTTAGGCATAACGGCTTCAAGTGTAAAAAAAATTTTCAAGCAATTACATGATTGCCATTTTGGTTCAAAAGAAAAAGATTATTTTAGTGTCACGAGCGATTTGTGTGATCGGAAAATCCGACATTACAATAGTTAACCATAAACCGTCCGACATGTCTCGCCGGCAAAGTAAAATTAGCAATTCGAGCATACACAGTTATATCTTCGCTCGTACTTTCGCAATTAGCTCACGTCTCAGAATTTTGCCAGAAGCGGACTTTGGGACGCTGTTGACGAATGTCACCCTCCTTAGTCTTTTGAATGGTGCAACCTGAGAGACGAGAAGAGAGTTTCAGTTGGAGAAGCATTCGCTAAGAGGATGCCTCTCCTCTCAGCAAAACATTTTTCATGAAGACATTATTTCTATGTGAGTATAAATTGTCTTGCAGTAAGTCGATGAATTACGCGACACTGTTCCATCATGAGACACATGCATGTCGAATTGGAAGATGCCTTGTGAACGTGCCCTTCTTTGACATTCTAAGTCCCACAACAATATGTCTAAGGCATATTCCATGAGTGATTGCAGAATTTCAAGGGAACTCGGCGATAACAACAAAGAAAGCCATCTTAACTTGGTTGCACATATAGCATATATGCCCTTTCACTTTTCTGAGCAGAGAATAGGGAATTGAAATCAGAACAATCTTTCAAGTATGAAATATCAGTGCTATGGGGAGAATGGAAACTATCATATCGTGCATGTTTTTATCCCCTGCAAATAGTCACCCTTCTCCACTATCTGTTGCCCAGTTTAGTCATCTGACTCAATTGTGGAAAGCCTCCCACGGTTCATCATGATACTGAACGATATATGATCCAACCAAGTCGGCAAACTGCTATTTGAACATGAACTATAGTTTGATTAGCTTGGTCTCACCTGATCGGCAATGAATTTCTGGACTTCCTCTTCAGTTAGAGAGCTGGTAGATGAGCGAACAACATATGCAATAGGAACTTCACCAGCTTCAGCATCAGGAAATCTACACAGAAAATATTGATAAGTCTGAAATGATGTCCCAACTATGATATACCTGTGGATCAAATTGAGTTTACAAGAAATGTAACAGGAGTTTTCACTTACGGAATGACAACAGCATCTAAAATTCCAGAATGTGAGAGAAGGAGCCCTTCAAGCTCAGCTGGAGCAATCTAGTGCAAATGTATAAAATAGTGAGAATTCAGAGTAAATGCCGATAAAAAGAAAAAAATGAACATCATCACGACTAAAACAAATAATGCCAGAACATAGCAACAAGAAGACATATTTGCATTAGAACTTCAAAGAAAGTCGAGAATACAATGCCTAGATTAAGTTTTTCTTCCCATCATATCTATATGGCTAAACAATTATCGGAGTGATTTAGGATCATAGGAATCGGAAATTCTGTATGGTTCTAATAAAAAGAAATAAATAAAATAAACTACACATGGTGACAATTGAAATGTAAACTATCAAAAATTAATAAAAAGATTCAATACAAATTTTAAAGAACATTTGCTGAAAAGTAAGGTTCACACAATCTCCTATTATCATTGTCAACAAATTCAGGGTATCGAATCTCTGTTTTCCACAAATTTCTCCCTGCAAAATGAACTAGGAAGTATATCATACTTATGAAAAAACATCAGGTGCCTACCTGATAACCTTTGTACTTGATGAGCTCTTTGATTCGATCAACAACATATAGTTGCCCTTCCTCATCAAAATATCCAAGGTCTCCGGTGTGCACCCAACCCTTGTTATCTATTGTCAATTTAGTTGCTTGTGGATTGTTATAATATCCTGTAAACAACCTGAGACGTCAGTCGCAATCTGATTAAATGTGCAAGCAACAATAAGTAATTTAACTGAAGCCAGACCTGAAAGGCACAACTAAATATATGCAAAGAAAGGCAATCTTAAGCTGCCTCAACTATGTAAAAGTTACAAATTCCGATTCCTCCATAGATTGATACATGCTAATTCCAAAGGCCTTAACTCAACCAAAGCCAAAGATCATCTTGATGAACCTAGTTGAAATCTATATGACAAGAAGCTCCTCCTCCTCCTTTGTATTCTTTTTTTACAATATGAGCACGATAAAACCCAGAGATTGTAATTTATCTCCAAATATCTGCATTTGAAAATCAGAATGCTCTATCCAGATTGTGGCAACTATGTACCTTTCATCATGTTAGGTCCACGAACCCATATTTCCCCTAACTGAGTAGGGGGAAGAGGCTTTAGTGTATCCACGCTGATAATTTGAGCTTCAACTCCTGAAACTAGTTGTCCGGCGGAACCAGTATGCCGAACGCCGAAATTTGTATTCTCCACAGAGACGATCGCGCAAGTTTCTGTCATACCATAACCCTGAAAAACAAAGACCATAAATTGAATCGCTGAAATCATTTCCTTTCTAAAACTACTGACCAGATACCAATCAACAACAGCTCTATTGTTTAGGATGCATCCGAAATACCTGCGCCACAACGGCATGAGGGAAATTCTTAGCACAATCCTCCATCACATCCTTCCCTAAAGGCGCAGCGCCGGAACCAATGTGCTTCAACGACGAGAGGTCATACTTCCTCACCACACTCTGCTTAGCCAAAGCAAGTATAATGGGGGGCACAACCCACAATTGCGTGATCCTGTACTTCTCGACCACCCTTAAGACCGAGTCAAATTCGAACCTCCCCAGCGACACGAGCGCGTTCCCCTTCTGGAGCTGCGAGTAAGTGATCACCCCGAGCCCGAACACGTGGAACATGGGCAGGACACAGAGGAACACATGGTGCATCTCCCCCGCCATTTCTTGATCCATGGTCACCATCAGGGATGCGGCGATGAAGTTCCCGTGAGTCAAGATCACGCCTTTGCTCGTCCCCGTCGTGCCGGAGGAGTACAAGAGCGCCGCGACGTCGCTCTGCTTGACATTGACCCGGGGGAAACTGGAGGCGCCATTCCCGAGATTCACCAGATCGTGGAAGCTCAAGATTCTTGATTTGGACGAGATCTGCGGAGGTACACTCTTGGAACTCCCCAAGATCACAGCCGGGAGATTCAGGTCCTTGACTTTCTCCCACAATCCAGGGACAGTCACGATCAGCTTCGGGTTAGAGTCCTTGACCTGCTTGGACAGCTCGGTCGTCGTGTACAGGGGATTCGCGGTGGTGGCGACGGCGCCGATGGCAGCGACCCCGAAGAAACAGAGCGGGAACTGAACGGAATTGGGGGAGAAGATCAGCACGACGTCTTTCTTCTTGAGGCCCAAGCTGAGCAGGCCGTGCGCGACCTTCATCACCGTCGATTCGAACTGCGAGAAGGTCAAGGTCTCGTCCGTGTCGGCGTCGACGAGGGCGGGCTTGTCGGCGTAGGAGGCGGAGTTGCGGAAGAGGAAGGAGACCATGGAGAGGTCGGGGTTCCTGGGGACCACGAGGGACGGCCGGAGCGACCTGTAGACGCCGTCGCGGCCATAACCAGATTTCTCCATCCGACAAAATCGAACTTTGCCCTTCTCGAGCTGTCCCCAAGCGAGCGTGGGAGCGTCGGGCGAGCGAAGAAGGCGGGTGTTGGGAATGCGCAGAGTTCAAAGGTTGGAGCTTTTCGAGGAAATCCAAGTCGCTGCAACCACAACGTCAACCGCAGGGCGCCGTACGAAGAAGGAGATGGAGGGTGGAGAGTTACACCTTTTGGGTAAGCGGCGTTATCCACTTTACTGGGAGCAGAGGAAGACCGATGACGAACTTGGGCAAAGATCCAAGGCGAAGAGGACAGAGGCGTGACGAATTAGGCAGGCGTAGTTTAAGGGAATCATCATCGTTTGACCGTGTCGTCTTGGACTCAGCGATCATGTTCTGTTTCACTGTCGTTCCCAGAATGGCGGGGACACGGCCCGTTTGGCCCATGAAAGCGTCACCAGGCATTGTGCTCCATCCCCGTGTCGGCCCAGAATCGATGATGTTGTCTGGGGGACTCCTCGGTGCGTGTTGGAGGCAAATCGTATGTGCCCAAAACAAGAAACGATCCCCTGCCACTGCTTCGTTTGTCTTCTTGAAGGTAAGCTCTCTCTCTCTCTCTCTCTCCGTCAATCCCATTTCCATGGCCGCTTCTTCTTCTTCCATCGCCACCTTATCTCGCATTTCACTCCTCAAACTCACCTCAAGACTCGCTTTTTCCGCTCCAGTTCCGTTCTCTTCTCCCGCCACCCTCGCCACTAGACCAAAGGTCCCTGAATCGCCATGCCCATGAAACCCTGTGATTGTCGCTGCCTGGTTCCGTCTGTTTCTTGATCTGTCGTGTTCTTTTTCTTTTGCAGCGGTTGCATCGGTTTAGGTTGTTTTCCATGTCGCCGGAGCCCAAAGAATCTCCCTCTAACAATGCAGGACTCCAGGCGAGTCCCGATGAGGCCACCAAGGGTTACATCATGCAGCAAACTGTGAGACCCTTTTCGCGCTATCATATTGTTCTTGATTGCGAATGGCTGGATTTGGTTTAGACTCATGCTTGAGCTCTCATTCTTGGCAGATGTTTCGAATTAAGGACCCTAAAGTCAGCCTCGACTTCTATTCTCGCGTTTTGGGCATGTCGTATGTCTTCCTCGTTCCCCTCACCTTTTTTCCTTTGATGGTATTGCTGTTTCATATGTGGTCCTTTCTGGTTTTACATTCTCTATGTCCACTCATGTGATACGATGCCCGCGCCAGTGCTTCCTTGTTTTGGTGTTTGAACGAATTATTAATGTTTGAAGTGGGTATGCAATTTCACTGATCCTCTGAGCAAACTTGTTATCTTCTCTCTTTATCCAGCATGACAATGCGCTCGGAGGATTCTAAAATTGTCAAACGTGATGATGTCGTCTCATGTTAAATATTGTAGGTTACTTAAGAGGTTGGACTTCCCAGATATGAAGTTCAGTTTGTATTTTATGGGCTATGAGGTATCTACTTCTTTCCTTCTTTTTCCATTGTCATTTATGCATCTTGTGGGGGGGGGGGCGGGCACATGAATTCTTCTCAGTGTCATCATCGTTTTCTATTTGCTGGTGAACCAATTTTATTTTGTTGGACACCATTCTTACAGCTGAAGTGGCATAATGTCCTCTCGGAAAAGCTTTCGTATGAAATTTGCTATTCCGGACTTGATGGAGGTTCTAATGCCATTCATGATTTCTCTGGTGTAGGATCCCAAATCAGCTCCCAGTAATGCGGTGGATAGAACTGTTTGGACTTTTGGTCAGAAGGCTACAATTGAGCTAACACAGTTAATTTTCCATTTCAATAAAGCTCTCTCTCTCAGCATGTGAAGCGAGAGTGTGGATGTATACATGAAGCCCGATTATTTCTACTGTCAAGTAATTTTTTTTTATCTGAAAATCTCTTGCAGTAATTGGGGAACTGAAAGCGATCCTGACTTCAAGTACCACAATGGGAATTCAGAACCGCGTGGCTTTGGTACACTTTTTCTCGAAAATAGAATGTTGAGTTCAATATGGCTTCTAATCTTTGTTTTTAATACTGTGGATGTGGTTTTGTGAGCCCAACCACTTTGAAGCACATAAAGTTGTACATTTCTATCTAGGTTAGTTACAGTTAGACTGTTCACTCCACTGGTGAATACGGTCATTTTCCTGTGAACTTAAATTTGTCTAATGTAGTATTTTTGGCCTAGTATGTTGTTGGGTAGATGAGTACTTAGTTATGGCTTTAGCACAGGAAGTTAAGCCAAGGGTTTTAATGTTGTTTTGATGAGCTTCTTATGCTAATACTAGCTTTTAAAAGAAGTAAAGGACTAAGGAATTTCCCAGTGAGTCTAAAAATATGCAAAGCTTTCCCTGAGTCTCTTCAAGATAGGTCATTTAGGATGTCCAAATATTTCTGATTTGGTCTTTACTATGTGATTTGCATCCTGTCAATTTTGGAATGATATTGGATATATGCTGCTTGTGTAACCAATTTATCTACTGTAGCAATTTGTGCATTGGCAATTTTCTCATGCAAACCTTTGAATTTTGAGAAGGATAAAACTGCTAGTTACATACCCGCGTATGGCGTGGTGAGGTCTCTCCAGCCAATGCATTGACTAATTAGCGGACACTTGTAAGATTGGCAAGTTTGCTTTTAGCAAAAATAATTGATTTCACAGTTCTCTACGTGTCATTAATAATAGTTTTGAAGATCTCCTTAGAAAAAAAATAGATAAAAACGAGGTATGTAGTACTGGTGCTTAGTGCAGTCTAACTCTTGTTTCCCTTGCTTCCAGGACACATCGGCATCACAGTTGATGATACATACAAGGCCTGTGAGAGGTTTGAAAAACTGGGAGTCGAGTTTGTGAAAAAGCCAGATGATGGTATGGCACCCTGCAAAATCCGTGAAAACATCAATAATTTTGTTTCATTCTAATGACAGTTGGATGCTTGGTGGAGTTTAGTTTACGGCGGGAAACAAGTTATATATCTGACTATTCTCTGTGTTTATTTAAGGTCTGATCAGCCACATTAACAATAGTCGAGTTTGGTTTGATGCTTCATGTTTGTTGAGGTAGACCAGGAGAATGTCTTAATCATGGAGTCTAAAAGCATGGCGCACACTGTACAGAGTTACACTAAAATGCTTTTTAGCTCTCTTTTGTTCTCTAGTCCCTGGCCTGTGATGCAGCGCCAGTTCCTTTTCTTGCTTAATAGTCTATCTGTGCTTACAGTCATGTGTAAAATTACACAGTTCTATTCTCTCTGGAATGTTCTTATGTGCATTTTTTTCTTGTGGTTTTAAATATGGAAAATCTGATACAGGGAAAATGAAAGGGATAGCATTCATCAAGGATCCTGATGGCTATTGGATTGAAATCTTTGACCTTAAAAATATCGGCAACACTGTAGGGACAGCTGCCTGATTTTAACTTTGCTAGAAGTTGGAGCCTTTCATGCATCTGAAGGTATTCTATCACTCAGCAAACCTCTGAACTGTATACATATATGATGGATTGGGAAGGTGTTTACTTTTGCAGTTAACATGAGCACTTCTCACCCATTTCGTCCGAGAAGCGGTTGTTAAGTGTTTTGTTTAGTAATTGTTAGTATGTACCAGTGTTCAGACTTCAAAGTAAGGATGACATATATAGAGTGCTTCTGAAGAGTTGAAGCAGCAGTTTTAAGTGTATTGTTTCCTTGCAGATTATCGCTCACCATCCGTTGACACCGGAGCGATGGAGATCAGGACGATTTTCAATAGCAAGATTTTGAAATTAGGCTTTATGAGGTCTTTTGCCTGTTCTTGAGACTTGTTTAATAATGAGGTCGCGTGCTCAAGTTTTATCTGGTCGGTAATACTTCTGTTAAGTGGAATATTCTATTGGCCTCTATAGGTATAGCATGTCTTTGCTGCTTATTAGTTCCATACCGCGGCTTGAGCAGAGATAACGATGTCGAAGTTTGCATGTTGGTTCTTATTGTATCTGGATACGAAATGTAATATCGATACTTCTAGTCCATGCCTGGGATGATTGTGAAGATAATAGTACCGTTGCCGTTTGATAAGATTATTTTTTTTATTTTGTACTGTGCACTTTCTAGCTAATATGAATGGACGGAAAATGGTGTATGTGCAATGGAGATTGTATCGTATGCAGGAAGGGGTGGACTCTCTCTTTGCTTCCTGTCTCTCGTTTTCTTTTTTTTTCATAGACTGTTTAGTTTTCCATTACCTGCCTGGTTAAAAACTGCCCAGTTGATAATGTTGTATGTGCGTCAACACGACAGACAGCAGTTATCATCTTAAATTAAATAATTCATAAATGTCTCAAAGACTAGTTTGCTGATCCGCGAAAGACAAATTCATTCAAAATTTGTAAAGCTAGGGTGAGCCCGTGAGAGATGTTTCCACACCTTTGACCATTGTAAGTTGCTGAAAAAGACATTCCGATTATTAGTCTTCCCACTGCTCAGAAAGTCGCCTACTAAAAAAGAACGAATGACCTCGTTAGAGAAACGGTTCATGTTGCTGTCAGTTCCAATAATTTGTAAATGACTTGCTCTTCAAGCATCGGAGAAAATGGGGGAAAAATGACACTCAGGAGGCAATTGGTAGATCCCCAAGAAGGGCAAAACCAGCGATACCATCGGAGACTTTCCTGTTTAGAGTAATCCTGGAGATACGAGAGTGACTTTACGAAATTTGATAGGGCAATCTTTATGCTCCTTCAACATTTGTTGGGGGACTTCCTTTCAATCTAAGACGAAAGTGAAGGTGAAACTGAAAGTTGCCTGTGAATTTTCAAGCTGTCATTAAAGTTCTTATCCCCTACACGAAAACAAAAGAAACATGACTTCATAGTCTCTGATAAATCTGCTTGTGACAAATTCTTATAGGATACTTTTTTTCTAGTAGAATCAGGAAACGCTAAGCACAATCGATGGGATCACAACATCGAACATGGAATTCAAAGGGATTGAAGAGGAAATGATACTTCATTTACTAATCCACTGACTTTTCCCCTGAGTTCGAAAGGACTAGGAAATTGTCGTTTGCCTAGCAAGCAAACTGTCACCCTCTCGGGAACTGCTGGTGTATGTGCTTCTTCTGAGGAGTTTTGTCGCATCAGTTCCCTTAACGCCAAGCGCCTTTCTAAGTACTTTTTTTTAATCAGGCGATAACCCTTATATGAACTTTTGCGGTCGTTTCAATGCTTCTTCATGTGATGTCGAAACCAAGAGAGGAGCACATCAATGGGCAGAAAATATGACCCTAATCCTAGAAACTGAATTGGATCCGATCTTTCTACAATAGATATTTCTATATATATGATCTTATTTATAGTCAGCGAATCAGAAATAGTACATCGGCATGAGATGCAGTTCTTCCTTGTTTACATCTAAGATGGAGCTGTTGCAGCTTAAACTAGTACTGCCTATCAGTTTCTTGACATCTTCCAAATCATAGCTCTCAGCAATATTTTCACTGAAATAGCCATCCGTCTTTCCGACACATTGGTAGGCATAGTCACTATAGGTAATATAATTTTGAAACCCCATGTCTTCTTGCTTGATGATCTCTCTTGCTCGGCCAATCTGACCACCGCTGCTGCCATCAGAACAACTGCAACTTCCTTCGCCCCCAGACATGAAGTTGTTGCTCTCTTTCAGTGGACTATAATAACCTTCCTGGGCTTGAAAAGATGAGCAATTGTTTGGGTTTCCCAAGGAATTGTGGTCATTTGTCAAGAGGTACTGTGGCAATGAGGCGAATTCATGACTTGCGAATTGCTTGTTTAAACTGCAAGTGTAGTACTGCGAACTGCTGTCTAAGGACAATGGTGGAAGCATCTGAGAAGATACAGATAGTGAGGAGTTCTGGTATGAATCTGGGAATGGCGGTGGGGCTTTTCTCTGGTTGAATTGAGGAATCACACCCATGAGCTTCTTCTTGAGCTTGGTGTTCCAGTAGTTCTTGATGTCGTTGTCGGTTCTACCCGGTAGCTGAGCAGCTATTATTGACCACCTAAAATTTGGTGCAAAAACTGTGAGGCTACTGTCATTCAGAGATGTATGCTAAAATAGCTGATCAGATATAAAGTCCATAGTTGCAGATTAATTCCTGATGCATGCAAATTCTGGAAGAGAAAGATGCCAAGATGAATACACCCATCACCCTTTTCTGTTTAATCCTATAATGTTCTTCTCTTGGATCATTTTGAAACTTTATGTGCTAACAGTTCCGTAATCTTTTTACCAAGTGACAGGAACGAGGTTCGCAATTTCATCATATGAGCATCAGATTATTAAGTAGCTGATTTTTCCCAATGTGGGGATTTTGTCCTCGGTCAGTGAAAAAGATGAGAAGGGGAAGACTCATAATACCTGCTCCCAATTGTAGCATAAAGGGTGCAAATAACTCTGTCTTCGTCAATGGAAAATTCACCATGTTTAATGTTGGGCCTGAGATAATTAAGCCATCTAAGCCTACAGCTCTTTCCACATCTCTTGAGATCTGATCCACAAATAGAAAACTCAATCAGGAGATCAAAGAAAACACACACGATGAAGAGAGAAGCAAACTAGTGAGAAAGTTCTGTGCATGGAAAGCTAGAACGAAACTGTTTTTTTCTACATCTAGTTCTAATACTTATTGAAAGAAATGAGTGTGTTCAGTGAGACAATATCAAGGAGATATCCGTTCGTTTGGCATGCTAATTCCGTCTCGTTCGTAATTGAAATATTATGATTGTTACCAGCCTTCTGAGGAAGAGCAATCCAATTTCCACCAGTGCCATTCTTCTGTATGTAGTCTCTAAGTTTAGCATCTTCCTCTGGTGACCATGGACCCTTCTTCACATTTGCCTTGTCACAGCATGGAGCCCTGCCCATCTCTCTCTCTCTCTCTCTCTCTCTCTCTCTCTCTCTCTCTCTCAAGTCTTTATGTTTTTGTTCTGCACATGAGACAACCTTTGTGGAGTACTAATAGCTTTCTCTCTTCTAAATGAGACTTTGGAAGCGACATGGTGGAATATGAGAGACACGCCCTTTTATTGAGATTCAAGGCAGCCATCCACAGCTTCTGAGGACCCCATTATACAGCAAAACACAAACTTGCGTATAGTCAAACACACACAAGTCAAATGGAAGCCCCTCAATTTCATCTCGCCATTTTCTTTTTGTCAAACCCTTTCGCTAAAAAAATTTCAAAATATAACTAAACAAACCGAAAAATTTCCTAACTTTATTGTTGAGGGTTGACAGCAACTTTCGCTCAGTAGTGATCTGTTTCTTCTGTTAAAGGATCCAATGTCTTGTTTGGTAAAAATTTGGTTGTGTTTTAATTGGTACTCTGTCTTTACTAGTTGTCTCTTCATATGCATCTTATAGATCAGAAGACAATCATTTTCCATTTTGCACCCGAGTTTTGATCTGTCATTGTACAAGACAAAAGGGCTGCTCTTAAATCCCGAAACCAGATGAATGTTCTACAGATAACGTGGCAGAAGGAACCTTCTGATTGAACCAGATGAACCTTTTATTGAGATTCAAGGCAGCCATCTACAGCTTCTGAGGACCCCATCTTACAGCAAAGCACACACTCGCATATAGTCAAACACACGCAAGTCAAACGGAAGCCCCTCAATTTCATCTTGCCATTTTCTTTTTGTCAACCCCTTTTGCTAAAAAAATTTCAAAATATAACTAAACAAGCAGAAAAATTTCCAAACTTTATTGTTGAAGGTTGACAGCGACTTTTGCTCAGTAGTGATCTGTTTCTTCTGTTAAAGGATCCAATGTCTTGTTTGGTAAAAATTTGGTGATGTTTTAATTGGTACTCTGACTTTATTAGTTGTCTCTTCATATGCATCTTATAGATTAGAAGACAATCATTTTCCCTTTTGCACCCAAGTTTTGATCTGTCATTGTACTAGACAGAAAGGGCTGCTCTTAAATCCCGAAAAACCAGATGAATGTTCTACACATAATGTAGCAGACAGAACCTTCTGATAAAGAATAGGATTGAATAAGCTTTTTTTAGTGTTAATAAAGGTGTGAACTTCTTCATAATCTAGACATACGTTTCTAACTTGATTTCAATGGCCATCAAGTATAATAATCAAAACTTTTTCCCCCTTCACATCATCGCTTGTCAAAATTATAAAAACGAATCCGTTATCAACTGGTACAACTGTTATGCAGAACCACGGCGTGTTCTTCTACTAACCCATACAAAGTCTTGACACATGTTTCTTAGCGACCGTTGTGAACATTGCTGTCCTATATTTTCTTATTTTTCTCTCAATGAGAAAACCTACTAGCTTTTCGCGCTACAGATGTAAACTCGAACCCGAAAACACATACAGACATCTTCTTCGTGTGTAAAACGGAGACTACAGAAACAATAAGAATCGCCGCCTCATGTTGACATCAGGGACACAGAAGTTTCCTATAGAGGAGTCATCCATTTAAAGAAAAGGCAATGTCTTTGGGCCTCTTCTAGCGATCATCTAATCTTTCAATTAAAAATTCAGCACCCTCTTCTCATTTCTCTTTCATATACAGAAATTCAAATAGGTCAATAAAAAAACATGACAAAACTAAACAAATCATGCAGTTATAATATAAAGGGAAACGACTAAAAGATGCCATAATGTCTTTATCTGCATTGACTCTCGGACACGAAAAGATGCATGCTTACGTTTATATAATCCTCAGTTTGTTGGGTTGGCAAAGTTTAGCTAGACATCTAATCATGAAGGCAGTAAGTTATATATATTTTTCATCTAGTCATAATAGAAAATTTAAGACTGTTATGGAGGACCAGTCGTTCCCCAACTTATATCTGGGTTGCACTAGCGCCCATAATCATCGGCCTAATCTGTTGTTCACGTCGTCCTTTTGATCTGATCGTTTCAAGCGAAATCTCAAGATGATCGCTTTCCCTAAGGTCGTTGCTTGGTATTTAAGTAACAGATTTATGCACATTGGCCCGCTTCGAATCAGATCTGGCATGATATGTATGAACAGGAGCATTTGCTAGGAAGAAAAAGCGATCGACGATTCCTTATTGCTAAAGAAAGGGCTGTATTTTCCTCCAACGAACTCAGCATATCAGTCATTCATGAATGTCATTAGTCCCCAACATGCGACTTTAGCTAGAGAAAAAGCTATAGAACGCTAGAGAAACTTGGCCCTGATCTCTCTTTCTCTCTCTTCCCACCCACCATACTCAGCCGCACCTTGCTGCCACTCCAGTCGTTGGGGCTCTTGTATGACTTACATTTAGAGAGAGAGAGAGAGAGAGAGAGAGAGGCGCTGCGAGTGGTGGTAGAGGCCAGAGGAGCCGTGCCAGAGCAACCGCGATAGAGTGAGGAGAGAAAAAAAATTCCTAATCGAGGGTAATTTTGATCTTATTTGTTGGTGACCATGGTTCGCAGACTAATTCTAAGAAGTTTCTTTCAATCATTGATTGAATGAAAACATTGTTAAGTTCGTTGGGCGAAAACTAAACTCGGTAAGATCTAATTAATGTAGCCATCATCATTATTATCTGATGACAGAAGTCAACTAGGATTTGATTCTTATAAACAAAATGGAGTCGCCTCTCTCGGATTAACGTAACACGGTTGCGTGCAGACCTACAAGTGAAAAATTCAATGGCCAGCATATCATTTTCAAGATCCCATGATTTTATCTAGGACAGTTTTATATGTACACTGCATTTTCTTGGAAGTTCCTTCACATGATGTCGCCACCCCATGTTTTTCTTAGGAAACCACAATGACAAAAGCCTTTTCGGTCTCAAAGTCTAGAGCTTGTGATGGGAACTTGATAGGTGTGCTGAGAGATGGATTATTTTAAGGGTTTGGTCATCTGAAATGTTCCAAAAGTGAAGAGGAGAGAGCCAATCAGTTCATAAGCCCATGCCAACATGCAAAGTATATATTACGAGCGCTCTTCTTATCCATCTGATTTGGTTGGTGGGAATTGGTGTACAAACTTTGAAATTTGATGATTTCAGTGGATCTATTCAAACCGTAAAGGAATTATAAAACAAAAGGGCAAGAGTCAAAAGTGCAGCTAAGTCAGTGTTGTGATGCAAGCAAAAGATTAGCTGTACATTTTGCCCCCCGCAAGAGGTCTATCTCTATCATTTTCAGAAAAATAAATTGGAAAACTTACATGAGAAATGTCATCAATCCTATACCTTTCGATTGGTTCAATTAAATCCTAAAGTTTTTTCTGCTATTGCAGGTGTCGCAAGCGCGTTTCAAAGTAGTCCGTTGTTGTAGTAATTAACAAGTAAATGTCCCGAACGTAATTTAGAAGGAACTTTCTTTAGAGTGGAAAAAAAAATAGCAAAGCAACTTAACAAAGGCACTTCCAACTCCCAAACACCAGGTCAACTATTTCCAGATATTGGCAGAATAGTTATTTTCAAGTAAGAATAGCACATTTGGACTGATTAAACTTATTGACTTTTATGAATCCCGAATTTAATGGTTACCTAGTTCAGGTAAAATTCTAGAACATCGGATGATCAATCTGTGTCGTGCCACGACTGTTATCACGCTACAGATGTCTCAGCTAAATCACTGACAATTGGTAAATAAGTTCCTAATACTTTTAAGACATGCTGGAAAGGTGTATCATCAATTTAGAGCGGATCAACTGATAGAAAAGGACTTCAATGAACCAGTTTCCGTACGAAGATAGGCTGTTTCTATATGTGGCAAATATGACCACCATCTAAATCTAACAAAGGCACTTCCAACTCTCAAACACCAGGTCAACTATTTCCAGATATTGGCAGAATAGTTATTTTCAAGTAAGAATAGCACATTTGGACTGATTAAACTTATTTACTTTTATGAATCCTGAATTTAATGGTTACCTAGTTCAGGTAAAATTCTAGAACATCGGATGATCAATCTGTGTCGTGCCACGACTGTTATCATGCTACAGATGTCTCAGCTAAATCACTGACAATTAGTAAATAAGTTCCTAATACTTTTAAGACATGCTGGAAAGGTGTATCATCAATTTAGAGCGGATCAACTGACAGAAAAGGACTTCAATGAACCAGTTTCCGTACGAAGATAGGCTGTTTCTATATGTGGCAAATAGGACCACCATCTAAATCTAACCAACTCTCTAGGTGCTGTGATAAACTTCACTCATTGACAAATAAGTACTGGCAATACTACCTTAAGAACCTCTACGTTATCTTTACATCACGAAGAAGCCGAGCAGCCATTGACCCATACCTTCTTGCTTCCCATTCACTAAGATCGCCACTCTTGAGTTTCTCCAGCAATTCGTCATCGTCCTTGAATCTTTCACTGGCAGGATCATCAGGGAGATTGTTATCCAAACTATTCCAGTCCATTTGAGGTTCTGCCGTATCATCTTCACTGATCTTCTGGTCAAACCTTGTCTTCTCATCTGAAGTCCCGATCCTTTGAGTTGTCTCATCTGTGCTCTCCGCCTTCCGAGTCGTCTCTCCTGTGCTTCTCTCCGTGGATTTTGACCCCATCATAAAAAGTTGAATATTAGGATGTTGGTACTTACTGTGCATCTGCATATCGTAAAGTGGGTCAGAAATAAATAAAAGCGACCATAAAAACATACAACAAAATTGTACCTTGGATCTTGGAATGGGTTTCAAATCAAAGCTTCTCTTCCACATCTGCATCATTTGCTCATGCACACTTGTGGATCGCATCTCATAACCCAACTAAAAAAAAGTGGCAGACTTATCTTCATATTCTTTTCAAAGCAAAATTATATCTAGAAATAAACGTGGCCTCACCAAGATACAGGTTCTAGGTCCTGATAATGCACATATTGTCTCCAGCAGTGGTTCCAGGAGATGCTCTGCATAAACCTAAGTTCAAATGAAACGGAGATCTGAACTTAAAAGATAGATAACCTTTTATTTTCAAAAGCATATAATTGTGTCCCACCAAAAAGCAAGTTAATGTGCCATCTGGTTGTTATTAGCTAGAGTTTGAGATTTTGCTTGGTCTGAGCTAGATTGATTAGGGAGCAATCTTCTTTTACTTCTCTCTTTGGCAAGTCAATCAAAAGTGCTCAGATACATTTCCCTGGTCATTTGGCTGAAGATGGGCCTAATTTGTCAAGTGGACGCCAGCAGAAATAAACAACTAGTAATAAATTGGACAAAGGAACGCTTGAACGTGTTCAACGAAAGGTCAGCCCTTGAAGCCACCAAGAAGGGCAGGATAGTATTTACCCATATTTGACCTTATATCCAGTCATTTCCCAAACCAGTCTGGGTAATTTCCTCCCCTATCCAATATGGTTTAGAAATACTGTGGGCAAGACAAAGCCTTATCTTTAGAACACAAATATTATCCTCTAAGTCTTTGATCCTGGGAAGCAGTTAAACTCTAAAATATTATGAAAGCTACGTCTACCAATTACAGAATGTTACCACGTCATCTATGGAACTTATGATCCAATTTCATTTTCTGTGGAGTGTTTGTGGTCCTACTCTCAATAGAAAAGGAATAGGATATACTTAGCAAACCAAAGAAACTTGGATGCCTTGAATTTACATTTTTTTGAAAAGAATAATGTTAGATATACAAAGACTGTTCTAATAATTTGGTATGCTAAATGATGTCACAGACTTCTATTGGAAGTTGGATATGACCCATCTGTTGAAATGCTCATTTATAATCAGCCACATCAGTAAGTACACAAAATTAGTAAATTATTTTCAATAACCTAGCATTACTTTTTCTAAAAAACCTCAAAACTCAAGGAACTCACAAGATAATATCTACATCGGCACCATTTAGTGAAACTGGAATTTAGACTCTCAGAGTCTCAATGATTTATTGATTTCTGCATGAAAATTATTATAAAAGATGGTCTTATAAGAAGGGCACTAGAAATGCAACTGCCATTTGCCTTAGCCGTATACTGGGTAGCGGAAAGCTCACTCACGCTCTTTCGCACATGAGTAGTAACTTTCCTCCTCAGTTGCATGAAATGTGGAAAACGTCTTCATAAAAGCAAAACTCAATGGAGCTGTTTTAAAACGTGGAACTCCAGAACGAACATGAATATAAAGAAAAGAGAAACCTACAACATCTGTGCCAATGATAAAGTCAAAAGGAGGATGAACAGCCTTTATATGTTCCACGTTTCCCCAGTCCAATTCAGCTACATGAATCGAACCAAATGAATCTGCAAGATATTATTTGACATAAGACAAAATGTGCTATTGCAAACCCCCAGTTCTTCAGCCTTTAGCCGGTTCCCCATTTGTGAGTTGACTAATTGTTACACTGAAAACAATTTATGCAGAGTAAAAATACAACCAATCTGTTACACTTGGCATCTTCAAGATTTTTTTCACAACAGCATGCAAATGAAGGAGACGAGGGCAGTGAAAGAAAATTTATGACTTCACATTAATTTAGAAGATATAAGATTCAAATAATCTGGAAAAGATTCAGAGAACTTCCGAGTACCAAGAACCTGGATTCATCTGGAGGATCCTTGAAGTATTCCGTTCAACATTCCTCCTTAGCAGTGGTAAAACCTCAGCTTGATCTGTTGTGACTACATCACACCCTAGCAGTGCCATGCCTGAAAAGAAAACTTCATATCAACCTAAAGGGAGAAGATAATCAGGGTCGAGGTTGCTAACTTCCAGTGCAGCCAACCCATAAATAAACATCAATCATATAACCCACAGCAACACACAACTCACCAAACCCAGCTACTCCACAACCTGCACCAAGCTCAATAACACGCTTTCCTTTGACCTTAGATGGGCAGAATCTTCCCCTTCTAGAATTCTTTTCCTGAAAGAATTGACAGAGTAAAGCAGTTTAGCTGTATAATTGATCTATAGAAAAGGTAAATAGCAGTGAGTGTTTAAATTCTTATTGGAAAATATGATTTATTCCACTTGTTTCGCTACCCATAAGACACACTCTTTAGATTGATATCATAAACATCGCCAAGTGACCCTAAATGCCAGAATTGACATGTGTTCGCATGCTGAAGAAGGGCGAAGAGACAGCAAGGTTTGCACTACTGTTATAAAGCAGAAGATACAGCACACAAAGATCACTCGATGAGACTAGCGAATAATGAGAAATTACCAAATATTTAACAAGCACCATTGATGCGTCCCAAACTGTCATTCCTAAGTGCTTTGAATTTGGATCCTGCCACAGTGACACCCAAATTCCTCATTCAGGCCTTATAATTAGATGCTAGCAAACCGACACTACCAAATGGAATGGTCAAAAAAGGTATGCCGCTGACTTGATGTAGAAAATCCACAGGTCGTAGCAACAAAATATGAGATACACATGAAAATGAAAGTTCGCAATCCACAGGTTCATAGAAATAAAATAAGAGATACACATGAAAACAAAAAGGATTGAAATGAGATCAGCAGTTGACAATGAAATAAAGTTCTTAGACAAAGGCTTTAGGGTAAAGAAAGAGGGATGTGAGACAGGAGCTCGCTCCCATTAGGGGATATTTTAGGAAGAGCCCAATCCACCATTTGTATAAAAAACAGATGCCATGTCTACTAATAGCAGGTGATAATACCAGACTACATCAAATGTAGATATATTCTCCTCATCGGGAGAGAATATGTAACCCCATCAGCCCGCAAAAGTAAAAGCAAAAGATGCCCGCTATGAACAGAGGAAAATTCTGTAGAGAAGAACATGTATTACCTGAGCAAATTGCAGTTGGTGACCCAAAATGTCAATAGTGATTACAGAAGTGTCAGGAGAATTCAACCTAACAACCAGATTTCAACGGTATAAGTAATGGTTGAGCATCACCCTGCACTTTAAGGCTATGCCATCTTAAGGTGCTGCTAAATAGAAGGATCTTAACAAAGGATTCATGGAAATGGTCAAGTAAGATGCGTAGTAAAGGGAAAAGAAAAATAGCAATCTAGCGCATTAGGTCCCAGTTCTATAGGTACAGGAGAAAGGTAGTCATTAATCAATCAAAAAAGATTTCTTGATAACTCTCGCAATGTGACATTTCATTTTGTAGAGATGATCTCAAAAAATGGCTGAGACTACAATCACAATAGAAAGCGAACAGTCTCAGCACCCATACAAATGATTCATCTTAATGAAATATAGGGGAAAAACAGGGATGTGATTTTATATTGAAATACAAGGGAATTTCAACATGCAGAAATTTCAAACCAATGATCACTGGGTTGAGTTTCATGTTTAGTATCAGAAAACATTCGAGAGCCAGTTCATCATGTCACTACTTCCCGCACATTTCAAAGGCCTCTAACTGTAAGTATACTTTCAACTCAGTATCCTCACTCAATTCCCACCCCCCCCCCCCCCCCCCCCTGCCAAAACCGCACATCACCCGCCTTTTGAGTAGAACATGAGTTGGGTGAGAGTCCATAGCAGGGCAACATTTCGGTACATGTTAAGAGAGTGAATGCAAGTGAGGAGGTTTAGATTATGTTCTCGTTACGGATCATGAGCTAAAGCACATAGTACCTGTCGGGCTCCATCACATAGTTCCGCAACAGAAGCAATCTCCACACACTGCACCAGACAGAAACCTCAAAACCTCGGAAAGTTAACAATTTACCAACCAAACCGCACAAGAAATCAACCGCAGCAATCCAGAGGAAATTAAATAAGCACCCACTTAGCCAAAGTTAAAGACATGCGAAGGAAAACTAAACAACTGCGCGACCACCATCGTTCTTGAAATTCCCTCTCAACGCGGGCACCCACCCACCCAGCAAGCAAAAGGGGCAGATTAGAATGAACCAAACGAGACCCACAGAGCAGCACGATGAACACTAGCACTCGACGGCTCTGCTCTGAGGGAGCAAACATCGGTATGGTTCCTTGCTAAAAACGCAACCACTGCGAGACGGGAAGCGCAGACCCACCAAGCCGAAAGTAACATGGAAGCGGTACGAGGATCAAGGAGAAGAGAGCAGCAAACCAGAGAGAGACGACGACGGCTCAGCTCGGGCCTACCGGGTGGGAAGCAGACGGTGGTGCGACTGGGAACGAGCTCCGGACGCGAACTCGGGCTGGAAGATCGATGCTCTGCAGTCTTCCTCGAACAAGAGTGTTGATTATATGATCGCGCCCCCCTCATAAAAATGGTGTTTTTATTTACTGTTGAATGACGACAGATAAAAAGGAAAACTCTCCGAATTTCAACGAAATTAAAGAAACCAACTTTTTTTTGCAATTTTGTCATATCATGTTTTTTTTTTTTTTATAATCCGAACTCCCGCACCGGCCGCACTACAAGGGTCCGACCAGCCAGGCACCAACCGAAAGAGAGCTAATCTGGCCCCACAAACTAGCCTCTATGTAAATCAAGAATATGATAAGGCTACGCGGCAGAGGGGACTCGAACTTGAGACCTGGGACCCCAAGTCCTACACCCTTACCAACCCAGCCAACCTCTGGGAGGCTTTGTCATAACATGTTGAGTTTTGAAAACAAAAAGGAAGAAAGAAAGGTAAATGTTGGTGAGGCGTTTAGTTTGCATCACCTTAGTCTTGACTCAAAAAAATGATAAAAATATATGTATATATATATATATATATATATATATATATATATATATATACATATGGAATTTGAAAATGAAAATATATTTATCGAATTTTTCAAGAAAAAAAAATGTCGTATAAAGAATGCAATGTCATGCCGAATTATTGAATTATCGAATACTAGTACGTTCGTAACTGTCACGTATTATCCAACTTAGTAATTTAACGGTAAAATTTAATAGAAGTTAACGGAGAATAGATTTGTTAGATTCTAGTACGAGGTTTTCTTGGTAATAATATGGAAAAACTCGACCTTGGCGGCTACAGCGGTCAATCGGCCACTTCGTTCTGCTGTACAAAGCATGCTCCATCTGTCCGCGGCTATCACGTGTCGTCAATTGTCATGTATTATTAATTCTGCAATTTGAATATAAAATTTAATGAAAATTAACGGAGGGGAAATTTGTTAAAGGCGTACAATTTGAGATTTTGGTGATATTAACCCGGAAAACCCGACCCGGCGGCCGCGGCGGTTCAAGCCATTTTGGCAATCGGCCACGCCGTTCTGCTGTGCAGAGGACGCTCCATCTGTGCGAGGGGTCTCTTCCCGATGGCCCTTCGTCTCTCGCCAAACACCGAAACCTCAGCTCCTTCAGCGCCGGCGACGGCGACGACGGCGACGGAGGTGTGCGCCATTTTAGCGATCGACCACGCCAACCTGCTGTACAGAGCATGCTCCGTCTGCGAGAGGCCTCTTCCCGATGACCCTTCTTCTCTCTGCAAATACTGCAGCCTCAGCTCCTTCGACCCGGGCTCTCCCCGTTCCAAGCGCCTCTTTCGCCTCCTCGTGAGTCTTGCTCGAACCCCTTTTCAGCATTTCTCTATCTTTGTCGTTAGACGATGAGATTTCCTTTTGATTTCGGTGAAAGATTGCGTTTTTTTTCTTTCTGGGTTCGATGGATTTAGTGCTTAGTTTTCTGGTTGTGGGGAATGGGAAATGCAGATGTCTATAGCGACCGACAAGAAGGTTTTCACGGTGATATGCTTCGACCGGGTTGCGAGGATTATGTTTGGGACGGGTGCTGACGAGTTCTTCGATTTTGCCAAGCTTCACCCTTTTGCTGGTAAAGCTTCTTACCGAATCCTTCGACCATGTTCTTTATGAGATGTTATAATTTCCCAACAGTCTCAGTCAAAATCTCGACTTTGGCTTTTTGTACCAAACAAATCACCCGATCACGTCCGGTGGCAGGAGTTCTGGTCTTGGGCATCAGTTATAAGGTGGGAGAAAATTTTGGTTCTATATGGCTATTGGGATTTGATTGTTGAGGATTTTCTCAGGAAAATTGAAAGTGCTATATGGTGATGGTGTTACTCATTTTGGAGCATACATACAGAAGTCTGTATGAGTGCCTGCTGTGTCTTTCTGCCTTTCCTTTCTCTTTCTCTCGAAGCACCAGCTGTCTAGCTGCAACCCGTTGGACATGCTTTTTTTCTGGAAGGCCATGGGTGGATTTTCCGGGACCTCATGGGAGACCATCACAGTCCCTGAACTTCGTTTTGTAAATTGAAGTCAGCTTATAGCAGATTTTTCTTTTTGCATAGGAAGCTCATAGCAGTTTTAGTCCATCATTCTGAGCAGATATTAAGTATTTGGGTGCTTTCTTCTGCAGCCGTTGCAGCAGCTAGAATATTAGAAGGAGAGTTGTTCAGGATGACGCTGTCCAAGCCCCGGAGTGGCAACGCTCAGCACCTACGAGTGACGTCGCTTGTGCCCATGAGGTCCGGATACCAGCCAGTGATTGAGGGCTTGAGAGAACTGTACAGAGTAAGAGCTGCTTGAATGTATAATATCTGCATCATCCTGAAACTTCGAGCATTGTCATTTCACGTGCTTAGCTGGTATACATCATCCAGGTAGATGGATGTGATGCTATGGGTTCAGCTTCAGTCAATGTATGTAGATGTTTGTGAATGCTGAGGATATTCCAGATTATCGATTTGTCTAGATTCAGAGGAGACATGACAGTCAAGCACTGCTGAACTAGGGGTTAAACTATGCAAATGGGCATACCGTTTGTTCATGTTCTGAAATATGAGCATTGTAGTAGTTGAAAACTTACATTTATGACCCCCTCGACCAGGCGAATTTGTATGATTTGCACAGATAACCGAGAAACCATATTTTTAGGAAAATACTACCAAAAATCCTAAACTATATCACTTGTGATAAATTTACCCCGAACTTTTTTTTTATGACACGAAAAACCTCAAACTATTATTCATGACACATTTACCCCACAATATTTTGGTCTATAGGCATTTTCATATCTTTTTCCTTTCTCTTTTCTTTTCTTTTTTTTTTCTCTTCCCGGCGAGGGCTGCTTCGCTGGATCCGGCGAGGGTGACACTCGCCGAGGGTCGCCGCCCGAGTCAGCGAAGTCGCCTCGCCGGGAAGAGAGAAAAAAAGAAAAAGGAAAAAGATGAAAATGTCCATGAGTCAAAATATTATGGGGTAAATGTGTCACAAAAAAAAGTTCAAGGTAAATTTTTCACAGGTGGCATAATTTGGGATTTTTGGTTGTATTTTCCCTATTTTTTAAGTTTCCTTTTATCTTCACTTAAGACGCAAGAGATCATGGTGCAGGCGTCGGGGTAGCGCTGAGACCCGGGGTCGATCCCCGGGATTTGTGGATAAACATGCAAGGAATCAATCCTACCTGTGATTATTGCTAAATGTCCAATCTCATCACCTGGGAAGATCTGTTGCTCTCCATGTTGCTGCAAATCTCGACGTCAGGTTCTCATCCTGGTGAGGATTGACTCGAATAAGTAAACCTAGCCAGATCTTGCGTCCGAGTAATTTTATCGAGGAACAAAGTGCTACTTGCATGGAGCTATTGCTAAATGATATGGGAAGTGATTCCGTACGTAAAACATGGTGATGTAACTTTGATAAAGTATAGTCCAAAGATTTTCGTGCTTTAACATGTTTCGATCAAAGGCAACTTCTTACTCTTGCTAAGTTGGATCATCAATCTTCGCTAGCTGCGGTATTCTTATTCACAGTATACATGAGACTGTCTGTGCGGTCCTATGCCTTAAACCAAAACCCTTGCCGACCCAATAACTGGATGACGTGAAAGTAATCGCGGTGGACATCGAGATAAAAGTTAAACCGCAATAGTCGGAAAGATCCACGTCATTTCCTGTATTGAAAGAATGGAAGCTCTGGCTCGAGTGTTACACGATATCGGTGAATTTGTCGACCCACATGCCAAATATTCACCACGAGCTCAAGTTTACACATAACTCGCGTATTTATACAACATCACACCATGTGTCATTACCCGTCAAGTGTTATATAGGATCTCCTCTACATCAACCAGAATACAGTAAAGAGGAACCGCAGTCCTCCAACGTTAGGCTAAATAGTTTGCCCGTGCTCCTTTCCCCACCTCTTGGACTGTCAAAGTGTGGAACAGTAGAAAAATGGAACTAAGACCTAACTTTTGCAAGGCGAGCTCTTATTTCTTCTAGTTCTTCCTCATCATCAGCACCCTCGGCAATCGCTTCATCCTACAAATGCCAAATTCATTTAATACATGAAAAAAGTAAGAATGCAGCAGTGATTGTTTCTCAATTAGCTTCCTACTGGGTAAATAAAAGAGTAACCAGAAATAAGTTCCATCAGTAAGCTAATTAGCAGATATACCTCTTCTGCAGCAGGTTGAGCAGATTGCTTCACCTTTTGCTTCCTCACTGCCTCTGGAAGTTGAGCAGCTGTCTCACCGGCTATGGCTGTCAAGACCTTATCAACCTCTTCGTCTATCTCCTCTTCCATGTCCTCCGTGTCAAGAGCTGTGTCAACCGCATCGTTCACAAATTCTTCTATCACACCAGCCTATATATCATATAAACAAACTGCATTCAGCATTCAATAATATACCTCTGCTATTTGTATTTTGCAGGATGCAGGTTGCTCCACAACCCATTGTTCGTTAAAAGGTTTATAATGAAAAGTAACAAGAATAATTCACAATTTTCATTTCCAATTTTTTCCACTTTGCAAGCCATATTCCAGCAAGTGAGCATGAAATGAAGAACTAACATTGCCAAATTGCTCAAGATAACGTTCCTGAATTGTGCACTATAAGGTCATGCTGAAAAGGTGATAAAAGTTTCCATTGTCTTTCAACAGCAACATACTATGAAAAGAAGCCTGAATATAGGCATCACCCTCGTCATTCTGAACATGAATGTTGACAACAAAAGGGATTTTAAAATGCAAATACGCAATTCACATAACCCCCAGAGGAGAGAGTCCATCATGTAAATTATATAATCACATCAACTGATATGGGAAAAGAAGATCTCGTACCTTGGTCATTTCTTTGCTGAACTCTCTCATCGTAACAGCCATTTCAGGAGCTTTCATGAGGTCATTAACAAGCTTCATAACCTCAGAACTCTTAGACAAGTGCCCCACTGTCCGAGCAATTGCTGAAAATACAATCAAAATAAGTCGGTTAAAAAGGTGGAGAAAGAGATCTTATGCCAGAGAAGTAGGTTAGAGAAGTGACAACATTTGGCCCTAAGAAACTGAATTTTAATTTAAATGTTGCCACACCACTCATCAACTTGTCAACCACAATATCTCCTACAGTGATAGCTGTAAGAAGGCTGTTACCAATCTCCGTAAACAGGTGATATAACCCTAATTCTCAGCAATTTTATGCTTATTTTCACAGGTTTTCTTACGACGTCTAATTATCTCTATCACAGACAAACTTCCTTGAATGGTATACCCTCCATCAATGCAAAGCATGGACACTTAAACAAATTAAGACAGCAAGTTTTCACGTAAAAAAATCAATATGGAAAAATCTAAACTAACACAAGAAAACCATACCAACACTTTCTCCAAGGTGCATTGATATTGAGTTCAGTTGTGCCTTATTTTCATAAAGACGGTTCACTGTTTTTTTGGACATCACAATTTCCTTAGCAAGTGCCTGTTGAATTACAAAGAAGGGGAAAACATTGCAATGTCAATAGAGGAGTGGAAGCTAAAAGATGCGTGTATGAGCCTGAAATGCTTATCACGCAGACAAAACTCAGAACTACTGTTATACAAGCACGTGTAAGCACACATTGGAGTACATTTAGCACCATTCAATCTTATAAATGAAAATGCAAGTGTAACAAAGCCAAAAATCCGTTAGGGTCAGACATTCAGTAGATGTCCGAGACACGCATCAACAAGAAATATCTGACAATTAGAAATTTACATGATGCATAAATTTCTGTTGTGTAGGAATCAAGTAAAGTATCAACTGTTTATCAGCTAAATTTGTGATTATCTGACCATGAGGCTTCAAATTTCCCAGCTGGCCAGAAGACCATATTAGAGTGTAGAGGATGATCAAAACAAACTGAATAAAACTAACAAACATTAGGTACTTAAGTAATGCATTCGCTCAAAATTCAACCTCAAAGAAGAGGAAATTGAGGAGAACCATGGGATGAAATGCATGATCGAACCTAGTTCAACATGCAAATTCCATGAGCAATGGCAACTTCCATGCCGACACAAGCCAACATTGCTTCACCAGAACAGCTACAAGAACCAGAACCAAGTTTTTTCATCTCAGCTCTACGCACAGAATTGTACTCGCCACTATCCGCTGGCACTCGAAAAATTACACCCACGATCTCTTCTGCGTACATACTCGAACCTACCCATTACATCAAACGACCAGGCGGAGCTCCAAAGCATCGGAAAGATGCAACCTTTTACTCGAGAAAGAACTCACACAACAACGACAGAGCATCACAAAGATTGCTTTTTTACCTTAGCCGAGCCCATGTCATTTCTCTTGGCGGCTTCCTTGATCGCCTTCTGCACATTCTTCTCTTCCCTCTGGATATCTGAAAACCGAACCCACCAGACCCGTAAAAAACACACACGCACGAGAGCACAAGTCCTCATCGCATCGGGGCGCGTTTCAATCCCACCCCAACAACGCCGACCAAACCTTACCTCGGATTTGGCGCTCGATGTTGCGGCACTCCTGGCGGAGACGACGCTGCCAGTCCCGCAATTGCTGCTGAGGGTTCGCCTTGGGCTTGATCATGCTCATCACCTTCTCCATGACCCACGATTCTTCTTCTTCGAATCTCCTTGCGGGAGGCCCGATCGGGAGCAGATCGGTGATCGGAAGATGCTGGATTGGATCCGAAATCGGGGATTGAAGAACTTGGGGTTCGGAAGAATCCCTCGATCGAGGTGAGTATGGAGATTGTTTGGGTTTAAAGATCGTTCCTTTCGACGCTGGTCGTTGATCTGGTGGACTCCGACCGAAGGAACGGATGAAGGCACGTGTTGACCTCGAGCAACTTTCATGGACAGTGAAACCTCGGAAGAGGCTTTTGGTTGTCGGTTGTTTTGCGAGGTTAAAAGGGATAATAGATAAAATTGTAATTGAGTTCTAAATCTTATTAATGTCTGGGTACTGGATAGAATGTTCAAACGGAGTAAAAGGTTGAAAATTCATCGTGTTGTCGTCGAGTGTGGATTGATTAATTGACCTTTTTTTTCCCAATTTAAAAAAAATACACTAATTTTATCTTGAGTGGTAATTCTGGCCCGAACCTTCCTTTGTTTCATAAAAAAATCATCAATTTTTATTTAAATTTCAAATCTGACCCGAACGATTTGATAATTTCACAACACAAGGGCCAGATTTGGGATTCGAGTAAAAGTTGATACTTTTTATTGAGACAAAAAAAAGTCCAAGCTAGAATTGTCACTCAAGATAAAGTTTGTGTTTTTTTTAATTAACTCATTTTTTTTAATTTGCGCGTTATCTAATAGTACAATTGGAAAAATTAGATTTATCTCGCATTCGAGATATTTTCAAATTATACATGTTACCCAATAAGACTCGAAGCGCAAATCGAAAGTGCTTTTGGGCAAAAACCAAACCATATATAGGGCCATGCGAACTTAGTCATTTTACGAACAAAATTTTCATGGCAGATCTTCGCCTAGGTCCTCTCATTGGTTAGGTTTAGTGAATACCCTTTTTCCTTTATATATATGTGTGTACGTATACTTCTTACATTGGTGTAGAGCTTGTCTAAACATTAGTAATAACCAAATCGAAATCCCACGATTAATTCACTTGACTCGTATGATCCGAACCCGAGCAAGTTCCTACTTCCGAGACTCAGGTCGTTGAATTGGGAGGTCCACCAACATTGTCGGGTGACCCGATCAAGGCCCAATGTCGTCGAATTGGAGCCCAAAGACTGTAATGGAATGCTTGAATAGTTGGACCCGCCGTTCCCTTTGAATGAAATGGTGATTCCTCCACCAAAACACATTAACTATTTGCTTAATTATTGATTAGTCTATTAATTATAAGATTATAATGAATGAATTATTACGATTAATATTATAAATACAGATTAATATTATTCTATTGTAATTTATGATGATTAACTTTAAATTATTGTTGATATATGTAACTAGCCATCAATCTAGTTGATGTTAGGTAATTAAAAATTGAACATTATATATGGTGAATATTAATCATCATACTATGAATGCAAGTAGAATGCAAATTAAATCTTTGCGAACAATTCCCATAACCTTTATTTTCCCGCCACTGAACACCAGAATCCTCATTTGATTTCTATTCCCACGGTTTACCGAGCTAAGTTATTGGAGCCGTCATTATATATCATTCCCTGATCAAACTCCATTCTATCGTACCAAACGCAGCATAATTGAAAATGTCAATTTAATGGAAAGGGAATAGCACCTCGCATTGTAGACCATCTCTTTAAATCACAAAGCGTCCCAATGATCAAAGACAGTGGATATTATCAAATTTGAGGGCATCAAAATGGCCATATGGAGCTAGATCGGGAGAGTTGTTCCAAACACAAAAATCCGAAACTCTCAGCTCAACTATATTGAAAGCTAAAGTGCGTAAATCAATCCATTCACGTGTAATCACACATTGAGCAAGGCTTTATGCACGACGGGACAAGTTTGGCTTCTCGAATTTACTCTGAATTGAAGACATTATGTCCAGGCAAAGCATATGCTGTGTCCACGCTTCATCGACTATATACAGTCGATCCGGTCTACCGCAATCTTAATCTAGCGGGCATACGTATGGTTGGTAGGGCACTCTTTGAGTCATGGCAATTTGATATTGCTTGAAGACTTGTAACCAAAAATAAGATGTTCCTGGAAATTAGTTAGCATGTAATGGTCTAGACTCTCTTTTTTCTATTTTGTCACCTTTAGTGTTTAGACATCGTTGTGCGAATCTATATATGCATTATAGACAAGAGCAGGTAGCCGCATGTCTGGTTAAAGATGGTGGGAAAGCAACGTTTTATTTCATTTCTTCTTCTACAACAATAGTGAGGCCACATTAAGGGCCTGCTAAATGGGAGATATGTAAGTGTCGACGGTTCAAGCATTGGATTTTAAGGCCCGTTTTTTTTTGGAAAAAAAATTTTTTTATTTTTTATTTTTTAATCAATTTTTATTTTTATTTTTAAAATTAAAAATATTATTTTTTTTTTTAAAAAAAAAAAAAAAAAAAATAAAAAAAAAATTTTTTTTCGCCCCGGGCGAGGGCGGACCAACCCCCGCGGGGGCCGCGCCGGCCCGGGGGGGGGGCGGCGGGGGGCGGCCCGGCCGGCGGGGAGGAGGCCCCCCAAAAACAAAAAGCACAAAAACCAAGGGGGAGGAAGAGGGAAAGGGGAGAGGAAAAAAAAATTTTTTTGGAAAAAAATTTTCCAATAATTTAAAAATAATTTTTTTTATTTAATAAAAAAATATTCTTTTAAAAAAAAATTAAAAAAAAAAAAAATAAAAAAAAAAAAAAAAAAAAAAAAAAAAAATAAGTGTTTATAATCTTAGATAAAGGAAGGATTAATTAAAAAAAATGTTACCTTATCACAATTGAAGATTGATGGTCGAATAGTGATTTATCACCAAACATGAAATGACGGTAATTATTTATAAGCTTTGGCAGTACATTATAGAAAGATTCTAATTGTCGTCGATTGTTTCTTATGCTGAATGAATTAAGTAAACCCTCTCTCCTCTATTTATTAGGGGTGTGCAGCGGTTCCGGTCCAACCCAGGAACTAGATCGGCCAATTCTGGGTGGTTCACAATTCCTGGGATGAAACGGTACCAATCGGACCACATAGGTGGAACTGGTCCAGAGAATATATATATTTTTTTATAGCAAGACCATAAAAGAAATTAAAGACAAAGAGTTGACCGAGTAGTATATTCCCAATTCCTTGAGAATTTCTTTCGTTTTTAAATATAATTTATATCAATAACCATATAAAAATAATAATAACACTGTCGGTTCATGAGTACAATCCGGGAACCGGATAAAACGAATAGGGTTAGTTCCCAATTCAACAAACGGGGAACTGACCTTATAGGGTAAAAACAAATCCATCCACGAATCGATCACTCCTATTTTTTATGACGCAAAATGAATTTTTGACTTAATCGAACCTTTTTAAGTCGATGATAATTCCAACTACTCCTCTCATTTCCAAGCAGCTTCGACACCTTACGTGGAATCAAATATTATAATGTACGATAGCCACAGGAAATGATCAGCACAAATCAGGTTTAGACAAGAACAAAGAACGACACGACGGCAAAACTTGGCGTCTTCTCACCCTCAGCATCGATGGGTCAGAGAGATTTTCTCCATATGATTGCTCATCATAATCATTCAAACTCCACTAGTTTAAGGAACAGAGACTGCACTACCTTTTTTCCCTTAGAAGTTATTTAAGTGGCGTTGAATTGCACTAGTGTGGGAAGCTATCGTCGTTCTTAGAGCCTCGAAAGTTCATTATATCTGTCGGCGACGAAGGCCCCATGCGCATTCAATCACGTAGGCCAACGATCCAACTATCCGCCCCCCTTTCTTGCCCTTGCGTGATTAGTCGTTGATGTTATGTTCTATGGTCTATGAAAGAGGCCGTCTCCTCCATGCAAGTATAAGAGCTCGATAGATTGTGACATGCACTGAAAGTTATGGCTCACCAAATTATCTTTTCTTCTTTTCTAATAGCATCTTTTGGAAGATTATCGGCATATGTGATGATTGTGCATCGAATTCATAACCCTCGATAGGTTAGCTCAGTGGTTGAAAAGCGAATGAGCGTGGGGACGCGGGGTTATTGACACTCGAAAATGACCTGCTATTGAGTTACGATCGGTGAGTAGAGTTGGGTCTGTAAGAGCAAAGTTCAGTCAAAATAGCATCGAACAGGGTGATTGATCATATACGAGTTCAATTAAGATCGACAATGCTATGTCGAGTGTGATCGATGCGAACCCTCACCGGAAGTTTAAGAGTGAGTGATAAAATTATCGACCAAGTTATTGACAACAAGCACTATTAAATTGCGATCAAAGTGTTGAAGCAGGATAATCGATGAACAGAGCAAAGGCATGTTAGCTTGTCGGTTGAAAGACGAAGGTGAAAGATCGACACGAGTTTGTAATTATTAAAGAATGAAGCCGATAATTTCAGGATTTGTAACTTCTTGCAGATAAGTGAAGTTATATAATAGGAGTTCGTTTGGAGTTTGTCACTTCCTTGCAATTGCTCGTAAATAACCGTCGATAGTGGGTTATAAATACCCACGTTGTACTCTTTTAAAGATTCGTCCAATCAATCAATGAACTTCATGTCCTTCATATTTTATTTCACCTTTAATTTCCAGAACATTTACTTTACTTGTATTTTACTTCTTTGCCATTCACTTTCCGGCCGGTCTAAGATCAACAAAAGACCCTTTACAACCTTTGTCGATCGACTCGGTTCATCAAATCTAAAGGATAATTCACTTTTTGAGTGAACCACGGGTGCACGGTACAAGGTCAATAACCCACATCATCAAGTGCTCTTGTGTGTCTCAGATACCCGTCCGGACTTTGGCCAGCACCAACTATTATATGATCCACGAGGTTGATGGAGTTTGCGATTATCGCGTGGAATTCACAACCTGATTGTTTTAGGGGACCATGCTGGATGATGGGAATCAGCTAGGTTACAGCAAGCTACTGAGTGGGCTTCACTCCATTGAGGAGGACTTGTGAACAACAAAATCCAACTTATAACAACACAAGATGCTCCTCATAGAGTCAATTTATCTCCCTTCAGAAACTGTCCAATTCCTATCATTGTCCAAGTCTATCTTGGAAGACACGGGATCACACGTTTCTGATCTACCTTCGTCGAGCGGGAACAATGCATTCACGAGGCGTCCTTCGGACAGACAAACTACGCATCCACCGCATGCAAAGTCAAGGCTACACTAGCAAACAGATTGTATGTTTCGCTGCGGGTTCACAAAAATCAAAAAATGAACTTCTCCTGTCCTGATATATGCAGTACTGCAGAACATTGGATACCTGTCCAAAACTTTGGCGGCGACGCCGCAGAAACATCTGCAAACTCCCAAACTACGTTTGGGAGGTCCCCCGTGAAGACGACAAAAGAAACTGACTGATTGTTCTCGTTTTGTAAGCACCGGGTTAAACCTTATCGACTTATTTCGAGGAAGAAAAACGCAACTAACATGTTATCAGAGCACAAGTCGTGAATTTGAGGTCTTTCTCGTCCATTTGCATACAGCATCACGTGTAAGATTAACTCAACAAACATGCAGGGGTTGTTCATATATATAATAACTTCATAATTTACAAAAAAGAAAATCTCAACTAACATATCCTAAGCAAAGAAATGACATTAAACCTACCGACTTTTTGACTTTCTATACTGAGATTTCTGTTTATAGGCTCATTTCAATGAATGGCGTAATCGACAAAATTATCCTATTCATTACAAAACAAATTTTTTGGAATGTGTATGCTTCTATGATCATGAGGACCTCAATTGCAAAACTTTCTTGGTGCTCCATCTATTGTAATTTATTTCTCATATCGGAACGAGATGTGACAACATAATCAACCACGAATCCTTTCTGCCATCTCTCCTCCAATGTTGATCTTTGCGTTTCCATGTGAGAAACCACAAGTAGCGAGTTTTCTCATGAAGAAAGAAATCTCATTTTCTTAAAAAGTGGGAAGAAATGGGGCAAAAGGGACACATGCCTACAACTACTAAACAGGACAAATTTTCACCATTGATGGGCCAATCTTTTGCAATTTTGTCCCCATCTACAACATTATAACTCCCGTACACCCAACTGATCTCCTCCATCACAACGTTGGGGGCCTCCGGTTTTCCTTATTTATACCAACTCCCGTTTGCCCACATCCCTCCACATGTACACACATTCACCTTCTTCTCTCATCTGTGCTCATTGTCTTCATTCGTTCAGCACACTCTCAAGCTCACTAGGGGGTGTGCACTCTCACCTGGGAAGGACCATGGTGATGTTTCTGCAATATTGTCCCTCTTACATGGCCTGCATTTGGGTCCTGATGATCATGATGATGATGCTGAGTGTTTCTAGCATCGTCAGTGCACAGGGCCCACCTCCACCTGGCTACTACCCCAGCTCCAGATTCGATGCCATAACCTTTGATCAAGGGTTCAGGAACCTGTGGGGCCCTCAGCACCAGATTCTAGACCAGGGCTCCTTGACCATCTGGCTGGATAGTTCCTCGGGTTAGTAATAGTAATCATAGCATAGTGCAATGAGTGAGCTTCGTTCATGTCTTCGCTTTGCTTCATGCACGAGCTTTTCAAACTCCAACCAGCATGCACTTTTCATTCGGTTTTGAGACAATGAAACCCTAATCTGAGGCATTTGTACTGCGTGTACGTTTCTTGGAGAGAGCAGGAAGTGGATTCAAGTCGCTTCAACCCTACAAATCTGGCTATTTCGGTGTGGCTGTGAAGCTTCAAGCTGGTTACACGGCAGGAGTCAACACATGTTTCTATGTGAGAAAGCACATTCTTAGACACTAACACTAACACAAACACAAACCCCTGTTTTCGCGTTCCATGTTGTTTTGCTGTTTTTTTGTCTTGTTCTTTGCTTGCTAGCTATAAGATATTTACTGATAATTATCATACATATTACAAATGTGTTGTTGTGACAGCTATCGAACAGCGAGGACTACCCGGGTAACCACGATGAGGTGGACATAGAGTTCCTCGGGACGACGCCTGATAAGCCGTACACGTTGCAGACGAATGTGTACATCGCGGGGAGTGGGGATGGCAACATCATCGGGAGAGAGATGAAGTTCCATCTCTGGTTTGACCCCACCGAGGATTTCCATAACTACGCCATTCTCTGGACCCCTGATGAGATCATGTCGGTATTGTTGCTTTCTTGTTCTTCTTATATCGGAAAACAACTAATTCTAGCATATGTTTTGAACTTTGATTGATGTTCTTTTGGTTTAAGCGCACTGTGGCTTGAGACTTTTACCAACACAAACTGGTCTGAAGAATGACATGGATACATGTTATCGAGTCTCCTTTCGAAGATGCATATATCCTTCAAATACTCGATTTCATTTTGATCAGCCAGTGTAAAGGAACTTTTGTAAGACTGTATGTCCATAGAAACCCCATCAGCTAAATACAACAACCTTTCTTGGACCACCTGCCTCTGTGTATATTTTGAGGGAATGAACCCTAGTTAGGTGATTTATATTTGGCGGCGGCATCCAATCATAAATCTCTCTTAGAGTCCTATAGCATAGACTTGGGAGAATTAGTTGACTCGTAATCAAAGCATCCTTTAATTCTTGAATATATGGTTTGATCTAGTTAATATCAATAGTAACCTTCATCTAATTTGTGAAAGTATCTTTCAGAGTGTAGTCATTTAGGCCTTGTCTCTCCACAGTTTATGTAGCATGATATTCAATATTTTCTATGCAACAATGTTTTTCTCCCGTTTTCAAGTGAAGGTTGCATCTTTTTATGGTTTCTGTAATTAGGTTTTACAAGAGTTTCTTGCTCTGATCCCATTTGTAATTATGCACTATAACTACGTACGGCTGGACTCCAGATTCTTGGTGGATGATGTGCCGATACGAAGGTACCGTAGAAAGAGTGACGCGACATTTCCCCTGAGGCCAATGTGGGTGTATGGATCGATATGGGACGCATCGTCTTGGGCCACGGAGAACGGAAAATACAAAGCAGACTATCAATACCAACCCTTTGTCGGTAAATACACAAACTTCAAGATAGGCGGGTGCGCCGTCAACGGCCCCGCCTCGTGCCGGCCGCCTTCCGCCTCACCGTCAAGATCCGGCGGGCTGAGCCACCAACAGAAGGCGGCGATGGAGTGGGTCCAGAGGAACTACATGGTGTATTACTACTGTAAGGATCCAAGTAGAGACCTCTCCCTCACTCCTGAATGTTGAGAGAGAGAGAGAGAGAGAGAGAGAGAGAGAGAGAGAGAGAGAGAGAGAGAGAGAGAGAGAGAGAGATATGATTGTTTTCATTCTAAGTGTGTTAATTTCAGTAAGCCCTAAAGTTGAGGGGTCTTGAGATGTGTCCCGCTTGCCAAAGGAGCAAAAGAGCAGTCGAGCGTCCAAGCCTCGAAGAACATTGTATCAGTTCGGGTTCAGAATTGTATGGATTCGCGAAAGAATGAATAAAATATAGTCAGTGAAGTGTTCACGAGAAGTGTAGGAATGTGATGGGTCGAATTTGGATTCTACATAGGTTGGAAAAAGAGCAAAAGTGCAGACCAGGCTGCTCCCTCGCTTGTGAATCTTCGTTGTCTTATCGCAGGATACACGCTGGATTTCTTTCTCCTGTGGAAATGCCACACGTGAAATGGGATTGGACCACGAGAAGAATTTTGTTCCATCCGATGGCGCCATACACGAGTGGCATGTGGAGGCATTGGATGGTGCGGAGTCTGAGCAATAGAGGAGTTTCTAGTTCTTCTCGCATTGACATGATTAGTAGCTGAATCAGAGGTTGCTAACATACATTTTCCTTATTTTTCGATGTTTAGTTGGCTCAGGAAAATGAGTCAATGAAAACTATTTTCTTGATTAACATAAACTTATGCTTAAATTCATGAAAATGATTTACTCTTTAAAATAGTCGGAAAACATTTTCCAAAATGTGACTAGGTATTGGCGCTTTGATTCGAAACTATACGCTTGGACACGGGAATCTCAACACTGATTCCCAAGTCCTCGGCGTTCAGGATCGATCTCTTGTGCCCAGGCCCAGGACCATCGAGGCCGGGCCTAGGCCCCTAATGCCCACATCCGAGTCCATCTAGGCCTAGCTTGGAGCCTTGGTGCTTGTGCCTAATGACCTGCATGGCACTTGAGTCCGGGTGCATAAAGGCCATGCTCGAGTCCCCAATGCTTGAGCTTTGGTCCACGGCACTCAAGTCCGGGTCCACAAAGGTCATGCTCAGGTCCTTGGCGCTTAAGCTCGGATACTTAGTTAATGAAACAGTCGTCCTAATAAATATATTTTTTTAAAAATTCGAATTTTTCTTTTTCTTTTTGCTCCTTCCTCGGCTGGTCGCCGACCACAGCGATTGCCGGCAACCAGCCACAGGGATGAGCTCGCTAGATTCCGGCGATCTGCCAAGGAAGAAAGAAAAAGAAAAAGAAAGAAAACGAAAAAAATTTAAAAGAAAGGAATTAAAAAATTTAAAAGTTCGAATTTTTTGGTAATTTTTCCCAAGGAGAATCAAATCAGATATTAAACGGCGGAAAATATTTTCTAGTTCATTTTCAGATTTCAACTAAACACGGGATCCCGGAAAATGACTTTCCGAAAAATATTTTCCAAAATTATTATATTTTTCGCGAAACAAACCAATTTTCAGTAATGGATTCGCGTCTCATTTTCTGTCCTTTTGATTGGACTTCCTTTTGCAAGGCTCATCAGGAAAACTATTCTACATTTACACTTTCTCTTGACGAAGGAGGAACCAACCAAAATCACGTCACGTCGAACCATGGCGTCGCGCCGACGATCGATCATTGGATCCCATGGAAAAAGGGGGGTTGAGCGGTAGAGCCAAACTAGTCAAAATTAGCCCAAGGTTAAATGTTTTTGGCTAGAAAGTGAGGAAATATGGACAAAATGGTACCCCCACCCTCCTCATTCATTTCAGAATCTTACTGTCAAGATCCTAAACATGGACATGTTCGATTTGATCTCCGAGAGGCGTCCCTCTTGTCTCTCGCCTTGTTGTTTGTCAAATTGAAGTCGAGTTCGAATGTGTTTATCGACCGACGTCAATGGTGAGCGGTTCCAGAGTCGGTCGAATTTTCACCTGGAATCTGGAACCCACCCATCGGAACTGATTCCCAAATTTTCGGAACCTGAAACCTAACTTGCATACTCTAAAACTCAGAACCTACACTGTCACAGGTTCTAAGTTCTACCCAGGTTTCGCCTATATTCTTAATTGAACTATTGCAATGAATCATTACCTCTAATGACCACTATTTGCTGCTACAGTCCACTAATTATAACTCATATTTAGACACACGAAGAATATGAAACATTAATAAAATAAAAATCTTAATCATGAATATCGCCGGAAATGGAAGCTCAAACTAGTGGTTCCAAATTACACACTCATCATCGGACGCCATATGAAATACCGCAGGACTGCGCGAAAACATCGAACGAGAAAAATACAAAAACTTATTTCGGAATTCAAAAACCTAGAACCTAGAACCTAGAACCTGCCTGTCAAAACCGATTCTCCAATTTTTTGAAATCTGGCACTTACTCTACATATATTGGAATCGTGCTCACCCCTAACCCGCGTAATGTTATATTGGTAAGAGTTCAGGCAATCGGAGACGAGGTCCGAGCTTAAGCCTTGGAAGCATGTCGACGCCTCCCCAAGGGAGAGAGTTTCGAGCGTTTTGGAAAGGATAGAACTCGACCAAAAAAAAACGATAAGCAGGCTTCGTGAAGAGCGCGGGCTAATCCAATTGGGCCCAATTCCAAAAGGAAGAACTCGAAAATAGCTTACGAGGCCCGCCGTCTTCTGAAAGTGTTTGGACCGCCGAGACGACTGCAAGTCCCACTGGTGTGGGTACGAGGCTCTTTTTGCTTTGTAATTCCTCCTGAGTTTGAAGGTACAATTGTATCCCGCATCGAACATGCGTTTGATTGTCCGGATAGATCTGGGGCTCAAATTGAGCATGAACCTCAAATTTCGACTCGTTTGTGCTCGATCTTTGCCCTCAGGTCCATCTCGGCTTGTTAGTGCTCGAGGTCGACCGGAGATGAGGCCGGGGGCGGTGCGTGACGGTGCTAGAAGCAGCAGTCTAAGATGCTCGATCCTTACTCGGAAAAAAATTAGCGAAAATTTGGAAAAAGGGCTTTTTCTCTGTTGCCTCAAAGTGAAATCAAACGTGCTAAGTGGGCTTAAATCCGATATAATGTTGGTAATTTACTGATACTTGCATAGATGAAAATATGGTTAGCCAAAAACGATCAATTCACTATTTGAAAGCTCTTAGTTGCACGTAAAGTAAGGCCAATATCATGCCTAGCGAAAATCGCTAACTCGGCCATATCTCCATTTCCTGGCCCACTCCTCTCTATAATTGGATTTGGAGGTGGAAGTTGCTGTTCTATCGCCATTTTCATGAGCACTAGTGGCTGTTCTACAACCCTAATCATTCATAGATCCATTAAACAATGTGACATTGTGATTAACTAAATTGGAAAGAACATATTCTAGAGGCAGGCCAAGTTTCTGATCCCTAAAGGGTAAAAGAAGCGAACCAACACTAGCTCGGTAAGTTTTGATCGCTAGAGTTCTCGATTCAACTCTTCCAATAAATATGAATTAAAAATATGGATTCATGACCCATTTTGCCGCCTATCATTTTGCTGGTGATAAAGATTGACGTGACTGATGAGCGAGAGTTGCAACATCTCTCGTTGGGCAAATCATTATTCGGAATAAGGCTTACTCTTTCCGCACCTTTTTTCTAAAGCAACATCATGCTTGAGAAAGGGAAGTGACATGAATTCTTCTCGTAACGGCACGATAGAAATCACCGCGGCGGAGTGGCAAACTAGCCAGCCCATCACCACCAACCCCGATTTCGCCATCACCGACTCTCCACACAACCGTCATTCTTTTTATGAATACACAACACCCTTTTGGTGTACGACGACGTAATCGCAATGTTCAAAGCTTAACACTACCCCGATCGAAAAGTTTAGTCCGTCGATCACACTAATTTTTCCCCTTGGCCATTCCTTAATTGGGCTATCAGCACTGCATAAAGTTCTCTCTCCATTAAACCCAAAATGGCGCAGTCCATCCAGGTCCACAAAAGCCCACCACGCAGTCGACACTGCCAAAAAACATGGCTGTGTGTGAATCCAACAATCGGGGAAGATAGTTGAGGAAAGCTTTTTTTTCTCTGGGGTCAAGCAACGCCATGATCGCCAAAGGGCTTTAGGCCCATTTGTGCAAATCCAACACTTGGTCAGTGGGCATGGATGATTGCTGTCACTATCGTGATCATTTGCCCTTTCTCTCAACGCGAATATGATCACGGACCACAACAATGCTCTGTGCTGTGCTGCGCCACAGGATCTACAACGTCGTCCCACTGCGACCTTTGTCATGCTCTTTATGCAGCTGTTGGGACGGGGACATTAATTATTGGTATGGTGGACTGGTGTGTCTTCTCACCATCCTCCAGGGAAGGGATCGGGTTCGAACCTGTTGCTGTTTGCTTGGGCGATTTCGATTCAGCAGGAAGTTTTGGATAGACAGCCATGCTGGCTCGAGCGGTCGTGCGCTTTGTGCGGCCGCGACGGACCTCGGGGGTTCGATCCACGGCGTGTCGCATTACGGCGATCTTGACAATTCCGTAGTCGAGCGAGTAGATCCCGTCGTCGGTCATTTGCTGTTACAAGACGGGAATTGCCGAACGAGACTTCCTCACCTGTAACCAATTCCAGGGCAAGTTGAGATTAAGTCCCCGGTTATTGACCAAACGCAAAGGTAGCAGGACTTTTTGAACAACGAAACGTAAAAACGTCGAATCATAAGGACCAAAGGGACTCATGGTCATCGCAGAGACCGCGGCTTCTGCCGATCCACGCTCACCTAAACCACGGCAATCAAGCGTGACAAACTCAATCGGTTTCGTCATCCGCTCGACGTTTGTAGGGAAGAAACGCACCAAAAGTCTTGCCCCTAGGATAAAACTTCGACGCCAAGCGACAAAGAACATCGCCGTGTGAATGAGACGGGGGAACTGTAGCGCTCGACTGGAGATCAATCGGATGCCGTAAGAGCCTCGTGTTAAAGAAGACAAAGAACAATGAGAAATCGAGATTCTATTTCTTTCCCCTAGTTTCAAACTGGTCTCTGGTACTTAGATTTTGACCCAACTAAGGAAAAACAAGGACTCATTTGACACTGGTTCAACTGATTTGAGCGATTTCATACATAGCCATCGGGGGAAAAATGATACAAATAGTCTATGAATTTTGGTCCAATATATAATGTGATCCATGAACTTTTAACTCGTTCAATGTGGTTGCTGAACTGTAACCCAACGTGCAATATGGTCCATGAACTTTTCATTTGTTCAATGTAGTTCTTGGACTTTTGGTACATATTCAATTTACCTCCTAAACTATATGAAAATGTTCAATGACATCCCTGAATTTGAATTAATAGAAGGATAACATTGGACATGTACCAAAAGTTTAGGGATTATATTGAATAAACTAAAAGTTCAGGGACAACGTTGCTCATTGGGCTAAAGTTTAGGGACCACAATTAACAAATTAAAAGTTTAGAGACCACGTTACATAATGGGCCAAAATTTAAAAACTATTATTGTCATTATCCCGACCATTGACTATCCTTTCTAGGATCATCCTGCGTAGTCCCCACAAGTTTCACATTTTTGCTCACATAGACCTGCGTGGAAAAGAGAGTGTCGGTCTATGTTTATCCCATCCCGATGATCAAATTCAGCTATTGGACAAAATGCGATTGAACCGGCGTAAGCTGAATATTCTTTTTTCTTGTTGTTATTTGGTCGGTAAAAATCCATTGTATTTCATTACTTGAAAGCATGAGAATACAAGATATTAGTTTCGGAGCACCATAAATCCCAAAGGGCTCGAGGAGGATTCGAAACTTGATCGTGTGAAAGGGCTTTTCGACATTGGGCATTGATGACCCACGCCAGAGCTTCGACGCATGCTAGGGTTTCCGCTCAAAGTGCGGATTGCACTCTCACAAAAGCTCGTCCAAAATTATCTTCGAGCCCATTCGGCACGAATTGCTATAGACTATCAAGCCCCTGAACGGGTGTGATTTGAACCGGGGGAATCCCTAATCGGGGCGAAATCTTGAAATCGGAAAGGAAGTCGATTTTCACCCGTTTTGGTTAAAATTGATGTGCATACCGAATAAAATGGTCCTAGCCCTTGATTCCTCTTTCCAAAATCCTCCTATTGCTCTTTCGGAAACATCCGATGCCGGCAACAATGCCGATCGGGGACAAAATCATTAGCTCGAGAAGACAAAATTCTCTCTATTTCAAGAGATTCAGGGCACGGTCTGCATTAACTACCTAGCGTACCCTGTAACCTTCTTTTGATCTTATCCTAATTCTTTAATTCTTTTTTTCTTTTCTTTTCTTTCCTTTTCTTTCTCCTCCTTCCTCCGCCACGACCGACCGGCGACAGCCCCAGGCAAGCTCGAGCCTACAGGCCTTAGGCGAGCCCGCCGGCCTCAGCTGAGCCCTAGCTCGCCGGCCTCGGGCGAGGTGGAGGCGAGGTGGAGGCGACGAGGTCGAGCCTCGCTCACGCGACGCCGACGAACTCAAGCTCGTCCTCGCCTGAGGCCAGCCATCGCCGGCCCATACTTGTGGTTGGTGACCGGCGGAGGGAGGAAGAAGGAAAAGGAAAAAAAAAGAAAAAGAAAAAGAAAAGGAAATTAAAAAAATTAACAAATTTAAGATAATCAATTCCGGAAAATGTTTTTACCTTCTTAAAGTAGGGAATTCACTTTCCTAAATTTATGCATTAATGATTTCCTAGACCGAAAAGTGTTTTCGGTTGACCAAATTATTTTCGAACAACCGAACGGATGAAAATCCAGAAAATGCTTTCTCGGAAAATAATTTCACTGAAACAAACGCACCACCTTAGGGCAAATTGCAACAATTCGTATTCGCGTCACGACGTGGTAATGTCGCGTCGCATGTAGCGGTCATAAGCGGGACGTGAGCAAGTTGCATTGTTCATTATATAATTAGATATGTATGAACATCACATCCATTTTATATGGTAAGCAAAGCCAGCTCTACATTTACCCCAAACAATATCATTAACACTCTCTCTCTCTCTCACTTCACTTCACTATCATTTTGGACCGACGCCGGCGCCGATGGCCGACCCGCCGGGACTGACCCGCTCCGAGGCGCTCCGGTTCGCGGCCCACGTGCTCCGCGGGCGGTGGTTCACGGTGTTCGCCACCTTCCTCGTCATGTTCGGCGCCGGCGCCACCTACCTTTTCGGCATCTACTCCAAGCAGATCAAGTCCACCCTCGGCTACGACCAGACCACCCTCAACCTCCTCGGCTTCTTCAAGGACCTGGGCGCCAACGTCGGCGTCCTCTCCGGCCTCATCGCCGAGGTCACCCCGACGTGGTTCGTCCTCCTCGTCGGCTCCGCCATGAACTTCGCCGGCTACTTCCTCATCTGGCTCGCCGTCACCGGCCGGATCCCCCGCCCCCGCGTCTGGCAGATGTGCCTCTACATCTGCGTCGGCGCCAACTCCCAGAACTTCGCCAACACCGGTGCCCTCGTCACCTGCGTCAAGAACTTCCCCGAGGGGCGGGGCGTGATGCTGGGCCTCCTGAAAGGGTTCGTGGGTCTGAGCGGGGCGGTCATGACCCAGATGTACCTGGCCATCTACGGCAACGATTCCAAGTCCCTCATCCTGCTGATCGCTTGGCTTCCTGCCGCGATCTCGGTCTTGTTCGTGTACACGATCCGGACGATGGAGGGTGTTCCGAGGCAGAGGGACGAGCAGAGGGTGTTCTATAAATTCTTGTACCTGTCGATCGTTCTTGCTCTGTTCGTCATGGTCATGACGATTCTGCAGAAGCAGTTCGTCTTTCCTCGAGCGGCTTATGCAGCGAGTGCCACTGTGGTGTGCGCCCTCCTGTTTGTTCCTCTGCTCATTATCATCGGCGAGGAATTAGCCCTCTGGAAGAAGCAGAATCTCAAGAATCACGGCCTTCCGAATCCTGCTTTGAGAGTGAAAATCGAGCGTTCGGAGCCGCCGTTGTCGAAATTGGTTGAGCCGGCGGCGGCCCATGTGCCGTGGTATTCCGACATCTTCAAGCCGCCGCCCCGAGGGGAGGACTACACGATCTTGCAGGCGCTCCTCAGCATCGACATGCTGATCCTGTTCCTGGCCACGCTCTGCGGGCTCGGGTCGAGCCTGACGGCGGTGGACAACCTGGGCCAGATCGGGGAGTCGCTCGGGTACCAGGCCCGGATCACGAGCTCCTTCGTCTCGCTCGTGAGCATATGGAACTACTTCGGGCGGGTCTTCTCGGGGTTCATCTCCGAGAGCCTCCTCGTCCGGTACAAGGTCCCGCGGCCCCTGATGATGACCTTCGTCCTCCTGTTGTCCTGCGTTGGCCACCTCCTCATAGCCTTCCCCTCCCCCGGGTCGCTCTACATCGCGTCCATCATCATCGGGTTCTCGTTCGGGGCGCAGCTGCCATTGCTCTTCGCCATCATCTCGGAGCTGTTCGGGCTCAAGTACTACTCCACATTGTTCAATTGCGGGCAATTGGCCAGCCCCCTCGGGTCGTACATCCTGAATGTGAAGGTGACTGGGATGCTCTACGACCGGGAGGCGCTGAAGGAGCTCTCCAGGAAGGGGATGAGCCGGGACTCGGTGAAGGAGCTCACCTGCATGGGGAGGCACTGTTACAGGCTGTCCTTCATAATCCTGACGTTGGTGACTCTGTTTGGCGCTCTGGTCTCGCTGATACTGGTGGCGAGGACCAGGGAGTTTTACAGGGGCGACATATACGAGAAGTTCAGAGATACGGTCGAGGATTCTTCGGAGAGAGAATTGGATGCGTCGCCGGTGAAGAAGGACGTGGACATGGCCGGTGAGAAGTCAAGCTCCGAAAGAACAAATGCAACTGCTGCTTAATTGGGATTTATCTGGGAAATTAAGGGACTTGTAGATTGTAAAACTTTGGAAGAAGGCTATCCAATTTAAACCATCGAAAATCAAGGTTTCAATTCAAGGTGCCTTCTTTTTGTTTGCTCCTTTTACACAGCATTCGACTGAATCGTGTCGAGGCCAACTCGAGTTTGGATTTACCGACAGTCGGTCCGAAAGAGTGAAATCATGATGAATTCTTGTGGAAGAAAGCTAGTATAAGCTTGATATATTTTGGTGTTGGGTCTTGTTTTGATCAGAGTAACTGTGAAATTTCCGGAGTATCAAGTTCTTTCGCTGCCACACAGGTCAACAGTCCCAAGTGCAACCCGAAGTGGACTTGATCTGTGTGGTTATAATACAGCAAAGCTCCGTGAATCGAGCTTCATTGGTACACAACTCGAGCACGATTCAAATATTCAATATCCTAGCAATTCAAATCGAAAGTTGACTTTGATGACTATTTAATGTGGTGGGCATGCCAAGAAAGTGTAGCTGAGCTTTTTGCAGCAGCCTGATTTTAGAATTCTTTGGCTGTTGCAGTGAATCACGGGGCTGGCTCCTTTGGTCGTATTGGCCGCTTCTCTCTCTACCTACAACTACAACTAACGTCGGAACTTAGTGGCCCATCTTATCGAAATCAATCTTTTTGTCTGCTTCACACCGCAATCCAAGAGGGTCCCTGTTTTGCCTTCACGGGGACGGTCCATCGAAAACCATATAAACAGACATAAAAGATATTTCCATCCGACAAGTCTTTGCCGACGCGATAAGAATCTGACCGGTCTTTTAAACTTTGTCAATCTCTATCTACTCGTTCTCTTCAGTTTCATGACATAGTGGTGTTGAAGTTTGTCGTAACCGGATTGCCGAGTGCTGTGATTGGAATGTCGTATGTTAAGTTGATCTCGGGATTAGCCTATAGCAGACCATCTGCAGTAATTTCTGTATTCACTCCCCTTGTCATCCTGTGTTCATGTGCACTTACGTGTTTGCCCGTTTCAAGCATAGGAAGAGCGTGTAAAATCAGCTCATCCACACTTCGTTTCCATGATTCCACAAACTGATGCGCCAAAAGCATAAGACATTGCTCTCCCTTCATTAGTTTTGCTTCTACCCTTTTCTTGTGACCCCTTCACATTAGATTTTCATGGTCCGCGTAACATGGATTCAAACTCAAGTACCCACTAGGCCGTGACCGCGGTGCTCCTCTTAAAAACTAGAACAATTAAATGGAAGCGATAAATCACTGCCACACGAAGCACAGACCAAAGGTGCTTGCTAACGAAAGAATACGGTCTCAAGAAATTTCTTTCAGCTTGGAATGGACTCGAGGACTTTCTGCAAGGAAGAGCATGCATGTCAAGGCGAAATGTGTAACAATGCGAGTAATAAATATGCAAACGTTAAGATCGACTGAGCATATGTTAGAAGGTAGTCCATGGCCACGGTATTGGATCAAGGGTGGTGACAGCAGTCTTTCTCTGTGAACTTGCCATTACTGATCATGCAGTCCCTTATAAGCTCAAAAAAACAATTAGCAATTAGGAATTCATTTCCAAAACCAAATGCGAATGGTTTACATGGCTTTTCTTCTTCTCTTCATTCTTCTTGTCTCAAAGATAAGGAATCCGAAGAGAGACAATGCCTGCTAAGGTGTAACTTCCCGCCCTTATAGGTAACAAGTAAGCTAGCCAATATCATAGCGGAGACGCCGAGCAGGACAAAACAGAAACTACAAGCCAATTATTAAGCTACTCATTCAAACTATAGATCATTCAGCTACAAGGACTAGACTATGATCAAAACCTGACACCACCTGTAGAACTTCCAGACCTTCTAAAGAGTCTAATAATGTTGGCTCAGACTCGTCATTGGAGCTTCCCAATCCAAGTCTTCCATTTCTGCCACAGCCCCATACCCATACCTCTCTCATGGATGTGAGAGCAATAGAATGCACGCGCCCTCCCGAAACTGACACTGGACATTCCCCAGCTAATCCATCGACCAACAGTGGAAGGTTCTCAGGCCCTGGCCTACCAAGCTGAGAGCTTTGATTCCATCCCCAAGATACAACTTTTTTCGAGGATTCTGAGGCATCCAATGATGCATCCTTGCAAATTGCTAAAGAATGGCCCAGACCTGATGCTATCGATATGGGACGTGAAGGAATATCAACCGGCAGGATTCCTAAGTCTTGACTTGCTCTGCCCAGCTGACCATAGATGTTGCTCCCACCGCTAAATAGGGCACCCTTACCTGTTAGACACCATCCAAGATCAACATTTATCTAAACTGAAGAACGTGGATAACAATTAAATGAAGCTAACTCTAGAGCCAGTTGGCAGAGGCCACCCTCATTCGGTAACTTGTGCTTGACTGTTGGCTCATCCTACTCCACTCAATGTGCTTAAGAAGAAAAAAAAAAGAAGTAAAACTTTAACTTACTGCAAAGAACTAAGGAATGGTCAAGCCCACATGCAATGTCCAAAACTTCAACACCGCTCAGTTCTTCTACTAAACAAGGTTCCCATATTATTGGCATATCTTTCTCCTTCTCCATGCCTTCTAAAACCCGCTTCTCTGCAACTTCTTTGGCTGAACTTGGAACCTGTATTTCATCAGTAGACATACTTGCAGTAGATTCGAACGGAGACGTCTCCATCATTCCTCCAATCTTTCCTAACCTACCATCAGCTGAATAGCCCCAGCCAAATAATTTTCCATCCTCTGTCCTTGCAAGCGCGTGTCCCCAACCAAATGAAACCTGAGAATAGAGAGCACCCAGAAAGTTTTTCATAACATTATCAATGACATATCTTTACATAGTATGAAAGTGACATGCTCAAATCTCTGGTATAGCCACAGGGATTTATACTTTCCTACCTTAAGAACACAATCACACCTGAACTATCTTTTCTCCAGTAAGTGCATCTACTCTAGAAGGTGTGATAGCTTCAGTGACATCTTTCCCAAGACCTAGCTGTCCACGCTTAGACTTCCCCCAAACCCACAAAGAGCCGTCATCTCCAATGGCCGCCGATACAACACCGGAAGCAAATGAAGCCTTAACCATCACTTTTTGCAAGCCATGCACTCGCTTGGGCTCGTTCCACAACTTCCTGACCATTGCGTAAAGTCGATAAGGAACTTACCACACAAGCAAAGAACAACCAACCATATGCAACACTAAGCACCCATCGAAAGTTCAAGCTACTATTACAAAGACGCAACTTGAGACAAAAGGGCAAAGGCAGAGGTTGGGAGGCAATAAGTCCTGCAGATTCTTCACCTTAATCACCTAGCTATGCAAATTTTTTAACTACTTACAAATCGAATGGCCATTCTTACGAAGCATGCTATTCATAAGTACAATTTGCACAGTTGGATACAAATCCGAAATTAAATCAGCCATCATACACATTACGCACCATCAAAGATGCAGAGAAGTTAAGCAAAAAGTTCTAGCGAAGGTCAAAAGATATGAAAGAAAACGACCTTAAAGAAAGAGGATCGCGTCCGAGTTGGAATTCATGGTTGCGACCCCAAGCCCAGAGGTGGCCCTGAGAAGTGACGGCAAGCGAGTGGTAGTGACCCGCACTCACGCTGATCACGTCGGAGGGTAGGCTGGGGACTTTGGTGGGCTCGTACGCGTCGTCGCCGCCGATGCCGACGCCGGCGCCGGCGAGCGACGACGGCAGGCCGAGAGCTCCTTGGGTCCCGTCGCCGAAGCTCATCACCGCCGTGCTCGTGCCGGTGCTCACGCCCCTCCATGCGCGACCGCCGTAAAAACTCGAGAGGAGACAGATCTTTCGCCGCAGCATTTTGCACTTCCGTGGGATTTCATCGCCTTCTCGAGCGAGAAAAAGTCGATTTTTATCTGAATTGCCACCGCAGCGAAGAGTGATTCCATGAGTTCTGTCGGCCCGGGCCCATTTACTGTATCCACAATTCCGTGGGAATTGATTGATTTCTTGAGAGAGAAAAAATCGATTTTTATCTGAACTTTGACCATAGCGATGCGTGATACCAGGTTTCGAGTTTTGTCGGCTCGGCCCATTTACTGTTTCCACGACCCATCATCTCAAATGGGCTCGTTTCATTTGGAGCGAAGAAATCCACTGGTCTGGACGGCAAGTACACTGCAGTACCAATTGACCGAAAGTTTCAATTTTTGGCGCTTTCCCTAGAAACTGGAGGCAAACGAAGACAAGGGTCACCGATTGGAGTGGAGATTGTAGAGTAAAGAGACTAGTTTTGCGTTGTGGGGGTGTTTCGTTTTTCTCACATGGAGTCCGAGTTTGGTTCACGGCTGGATTTCGAGTTGGAAGACCCGCTCGTTTTCGCTCCTTCTTCTGCGGCTCCTGCCAAGAAAAGGTATCTTCTCCCCATGATTTCTCCTTTTTGACATCCTTTTGTCAGCGCTGAGTTCGTGTTTCGAATTCTTGTTCTCCACTCGATGAGGGTTCGGGTCGAGTTGTTGCTTCTGATGCACTTGCTGCGTTGTATGATTATGGCATGCTATTAAGTACGGTTTAGCTTTCATGGGTCAGATCATAGCGGTTCTGATGTCCTAATATTATGATCGACTCTTTCGTCTCGTTCTTCAGTAGTTGGCGAATAGGGGGTACTGGTGTTCTGATGGAATTCTTAATCTTTGGTATGGATCGAGCAGTAAGAAGGTCATTGGCTTGGATGATCTGTTGAGTGACTTCTATAAAGAGAAAGGGAAGCGCGTCGAGGGAGCGGCGAAACGGAAAAGGGTGCTAAAGCATGATTCCGATGAGGAAGATAACGCCAGAGAGGCAACTTTGTGCCATACCCTTGATGAGTACCAAAAACAGGTGGGTGGATCTTTTTCCCCTCTTGTGCATCTTAGGATTGTTTTCAACTTTTGGATTGTTTTAGTTGTTTGAATATTCTGTAGGTCAGGATGTGATTGTTATAATCTTCCTTTGTGCAGATGAAGGAAATGGGCAGCGAAGATGAAATATCCCACTGGGGACTGCAAGTTTTTGGAGTTCAGGTTTCTCATTTTTGCACTATCTAATGTCAATGTACTTATGCGCCTTTTGTTCACGATATCATTAGGGTTCTGATGCTAGCACATGGCGGCATAATCAATAATGCTCGGTTGCTCTCTATTTCAGAAAAGTCCGCCAGCTGTAGTTTTACCAGAGCTTGACAGCTGTGCTAATTTCCAGGCTCTTGGTCATAGCAAACTGAATTCATTGGTGGAAGTCAGTAAACAAGAAGGTATTCATGTTGTTTTTTCCATTCTGCAGCTGCGTTCGGTCAAAGGCATTTTTTCTAGGATCTAGGTCAGCTTTACCTTTTGGTTCACAAGTTGATACAACAATTTTAGATTCCAATAGTGAGGCCAGGGAAAGCTTGTTTATGGTGCATTTTATACTTGTGCAGAATCCGAGTTTTTGGAAGGACTCCTGGTCAATGGTTGGTTATCCAAGCTGATAACATTAAGTGGTCATCTTGAAATGGCTCTTGCAAAGTGGACTTTCCATTTATGTGAGATTATATCTTTTCATACTTTAAAATCCTGCAATATCCGGCCTTCCATCTTGCTCTTTAATATATATTGATATCTTCCTCTGTCAGTGATGTTTGCATCAGAAGAAAGATTGAGAATTTCGGCTTGCGATCTCTGGTGTGACGTACTCTCAGGCAAAAATGAGGTTGACTTACTGCTTCTTCTTGACATTAAACAAATTTCTCTTGCTCAATGTTAGATTTGTGCTTATTACTTGTTCTCCTTGTTCCTGGCCTTTTCTCATTAGGGAACTTCTGCACCCATCAAAATAGACTGGCTCCCTACATATTCTGAACTGGAAAGGGCTCTTAGCATATATGGATTTGTGTTCTTCCCATCTGACGCAGGATCTGTTGATGTGGGTAAGCTCGTAATGTTTTGGTTTATTGCATAGTTGGACTAAACGGTCGGCATGTCTATCCTTATCACTTTTGATCTTCATGCAAGTAAATAAGCGCTCTTAATTTGGAGACATAGAGGTAACTTTTCTTTTTTGGGTATACAAAGCAATGACTCTTACGAAAGTGCTATTTAAGGGCTGTCAAAAAGTAGGAAAGAAGTAATTGATAGGGAGAAAAGAAAAGTGCTGCAAGTTTGCAGCATCTGAAGAGGAAGTGATTTTCGTTCGATTATTTAGTGATGTCTGATGAGACAAGGGAAATCTTATATGTTACAGACAAGGGGGAAAAGTTAAAGGGTTGTGGATTGTTGATGCTGGTGCTTCTGGCAGAAGAAGATTGCTCGATGAGGATGTTGGAAGTTCAAATTTGTTTAGATATCAGCTTTTCTCTTCTGAAGCAAAGTCATATTTCTCCTATTGACTGTCTTATATATCCTATCTACTACATGCCTTTACATGTATGCAATTGCAACTTAAATCATTAGTTTATTTATTAAATACGAACATATGATTTTTAGTATTTTATAGTTATTTGCAAGTATCTTTATCCAGATTCCAAGCATGCTGGACCATCTTTGAATATTCGAGCTTGGATCAAATTTGTGGCTGCTTCTTGTCAAGCAAGGTCAGTCATTCTGGATTCTCATCCCAATCCGTCATTTCTAGAAGCCATATTTTAGTGTCACAGGGTTCTTACATTCTTGAAAACAAGAAACCTGGAAATCTTGCAAATAGTTTTTAAAACTTTTCTCCCTTTCTTGGGCCATCAAATCGATTTAATAGTTGATCTTAATGATATTATTTTCTTATTTGAGCTTGCATTTCATTTCTTTTTCAGGAGTAAATGGCCTATGTTTTCAACTTCAGAAGCCGAAGAATTAACTGAAGTGTTGATTTGTCTGTTTCTAGACCGCCGACTTGAAGGCCTTTCAATGCTTTTGTATGAATGTTTGTTATCAGTAACCAGTTACTTCACCCATGAGGAATGGAGCACCAGCTGCAAGAAAGTGGCGAAATCTCTTGCTAGCAGGTTGCTGGCACTGCTCTACTTTTCTTTCTAGGCCATATAGTTAGATTTTTACTTTTTTTTTTGGTCGGAAAGCGCTTTCATTCATTCATTCATAAAGCAGGCTCAACTCGAGCTGGACAAGTAAGTTTCTGAAAAGGGGTTGAGGGGATAAAGACAAGTAAGTTAGATTTTTGCTTTCAGTAAGGAAAAAAATGTAACAGAATCTCATTTTGGGTCTTCCACCTCTTAAGATGTCCTCTCTGGTTCAATCACGGCTTCATGCCTAGTTTGCTTGTTTTTGGAAACCAAACAAAAGGGTTAACATTAAGTAGGTTTCTGAGTATCTTTTGCTCTTGTTGTTTAGACGTGAAGCCAATGCCTTGCTTTGGCTTTCTTGTTTCAATGAAAAACAATTTGGTGATTGATAATGACCATTCTAACTCTCTGACCTCTGTATTTTTGGCTTTTGTACACAGTTCTGTCCCTTTTTAAACTCTGAACATTTTTATGCAGGTTATCTATGGATCTAAACTGCTTGCGTGCTGTGGAGTGCATTTCTGGCGTTGATGCTCGTAGCAAGTGCCTCAGAAGTGAAGTTGCCCATCGGATGCTTGTGAATTTCCTTGATAATAAGGCATGCCGCCTTTCTTCTTTAGTACATGCACCCAACAGGCTTTGATGAGTAAATAGCAACAAAGCTCTTTAATTAGCCCTATCTATTGGTCATTTTGATTGTAATGTGCTTTGAGAAGAAGCTCAAAGACAACCTTATGCATTTGCTTTTCGTTGTCATGCCTGCATACAAGTGTTGAGCATGATGAAAAAATGCAGATTGGTTACCAATAGCATTCTATAGTCTGCGTTTGTTTCTAATCTTCTTGTAAAACAACAAATACAAGCACTTAAAACGCATATTTCTCTAAATAAAGGTTGTTTAAACTAGTCTAGTTGACAAAGCAGCAAAACATAGTTTAGATCAGGAGCATGTTTTTGATGCTTTATCTGCCTATTTGAATTTCAAGAGTTAATATGATTTGGTAGGATAGACATGATATTATTAATGTCTTCCTAAATGCAGATTGGAGATCATCTTAACTGTACATGCAGTGAGACATCTCTTTACTCATTGTCATTTTAACCATACAATTATTGAAAAAACAGCCAAAACTCGGAGGCAGTGGCGGATGATGCCATGGTGGCACCAAATTTTTATAGAAAATATTATTACATTCACATTCTATGTTTTCTGTGCTTTTGGCCAAATGAATCTTTACATTTACTCAATACTTTCTTCAGGTTGCAGATGAAGAAATCCTGAATTCGCTCATATCCATTAATGTGAAAGAGAAAGGTTGTGATCTTTTCAGAATGTACATTTATCTGGTTCTAGCAGAGAATTGGCTCTTGTTCAACTCAACACTAGAAGATGAAGCAGTAATCAGGGAAATGTGGGGTCTTTATCTGCGGAACTGTTCTTGTCTAATTGCCAGCACAGATTTGAGATCGTACGCGTCAAAGGTATGTTATGCATTGTTAATGCCATTGTTGCCTGCTTTTCAAAATCTCGTCTCTGAAGACACCTTCACGCTGTGCAGGTTCGAAACAGAGCCTTGTATCTTCTTCAAGGTTCTGTCACCAGATGATATCTATGGAAGCACGTATTCTCCGTCCAAAAAAATAGGAAAGGAATTTGCTTGAGGAGTAACTGCTTTGATAGGTTTTCCTATTTAATTATCGATCAACTATGATGCCTGGACAATGTAAATTAGCTCGGAATTCTGACCTGACGAGCTCCTCACATATGATTGTGCATATGAAGAAGAAAGTGAAATTTAATTCTAATATTCTCGCATGATCATCGGGAAGAACTATTAGTTGTTGGTGCTTACTGGATAGACCTAGCACCGTAAACTCCGTAGTTGTTTCCTGGAATCATTGAAGATGTACTGTAGCAGTAGTGCAGAGCAGGGCTCTGAAATGTCGCGTTTCTCTTGGCGTTTCAGGAATCTGCACCAATGTTCAGTGAACAGTCATAGCTCTGTATGTATCATCCATGTTTAAATAACCTCGGATTCGCTAGAGTGGGAGGAGCGAGCTAGCACTCGAAAGGCGACCCATTACTCTGGAGCCAGTGTAATTGCCAGGGGGCTGTGGATCTGGCCAACCCATCTGTTAAGGTGCTTACTTACGCTTAAGATACTAGGTTGGTCATCTTCTGGAGACTCGAGTAGGCGGTTTCGAAAGAACTCATTGTTTGCAGGAAGAACTCTGTTGATTCTGTTTGCCCTTCTCTGTTCATTGATGGTTGATTCCAATGATCCTCGCTCATCCAAACCAGACTTTGTTCAGCAGGATGTGTCTGACAGATTCAGTTTGAGAGATGACCAACTCAATTACTCATGCTAAGAATTTGCATAGTGAGCGAATATGTGCCCGATCGGTGCCCTGGATTGGCGAACTACTTTCGATCTCCTCGTTTATTGTGCTCTTTTTCATTAGAGTGTTTAAAGACCCCGGATTATCAGGACAAAGTCACACATTTGGTCTTCAAATCTACACTGCCTTCCAACGGCGGTTTCCAAATTTCCGTTCCTTGCACTCAAGCCCTCGAACTTGTATAATTTTTGGATTGCAACTTATCTTAATCGGACTAAGAGATCGGCATCATAAATCACTCTGTCTTTCCTTTCCGTCGAATTGAAGCCGAAGTGTCGATTCACGCAAGTTAAAAAAAGCACGGCCTTTGAAAAATTTGCTGCTACCGTCCAAAATCAAACAAAAAAATTGCAGGCACAGTTAAGTGACATTCTCGACAGGTCTTTTCCCCCTCTCCCCTCCATCTTCGTCCAGGTTCGGACCATTCGAATCCAGGTTCGGGAGCCCTCCATAGGGGCGGAACACGCCCTCAGCGAAACGTTGGCTCGGAGAGCCGTTGGTATCCGAACCTACCGGATGCGCATTTTGGTTTTTCGCCTCCTGCTCTTCTTCTTCTTCTTCCTCTTCCTCCTTTCGTCGTCCATTTTCGCACTTCCCTCCTCTCTCTCTCTCTCTCTCTCTCTCTCTCTCTGCAACTCGCATCGCGCCATTCGCTGTCGCTCTCGCCTCGCTCGATCTCTGCAGCGAAGAAATCCCTAGGGTTTCTCCTCCGCTTCTTCACCTCCTCTCGTCTTCGTCAAGATCAACGAGGAAGCGGCCCCGCGCCGGGTCTTCCCGATCCCGAACGCTTTCGCGGCGCGATTCCGCGTTCGGATCTTCTTGACCGGTTCATATCCCGCTCGAGAAGTAGCAGGCCGCACCGGATTTCGCTTGGACGTACTTCGGTTCTGGTGTAGTTCCCTTCCCCGTTTCCTTTTTCGTTTCCCCCCCCCCCCCGGGAGGGGGGTTGTAGTTCCGGAGCTCGCTGCGCTGGGCTTCTTTGGAGATCGGTCGTTCTGAGTCCTAGGGTTTTTTGAGCAATTTGCGCGGGGGAGGGAGGGACGTAGATGAAAGGCGAGAGGACGGTGAAGAGAGCCTCGTTCGGCCACGCGGCGGCTAGGAAGGCTCTGTCCGACATCACCAACTCGCCGCTGCCGGCCGGAGCCCCCCGCGACGGCGGCGGGAAGCAGCTCCGGCTCTCGCCGGCGGCGAAAGACTACGTGAATCAGCTTCTCGAGGTACGTTGCATTTCTTTGATGATGGCCGAGTCTCTGTGCTGCCCCTGCTCCCTTGCTTTTCTCCCGCGACGCGCCGCGAATTTTTTTGGACTGTGGAGTGATTGGAGTTCTCTTGGTGTGTCGAAATTGAATCAGGAGAAGATGGCTTTGATCAAAGTTATCGAAGAGAGGAAGTATCCTTCCATTTATTATTCGCGATCATCGTCTATTTTGCGTGTTTGTTCATTGCTGAGGTGTGAGTGAATAGAGTCGATTTCCGTAGTTAACCGAAGATGCTTGGGGGTTTCCTTAATTGCTATTGCGTAGTAAGATGATCGAACTGAGTGGGGCCGAGTTGCAGAAACTTCGAATCAATTATCAGAAGATCCAGCTGCAGAATTGGAATCTCGCTCAAGCCAACGGTCAAATGTTAGCTGTGCGGTTTCCACTCTTCAAATTACTTTTGTGCATTTTTACATTCCCCCAATGCATAGATGACCTTGTTTCTTTTGATCTTGCAGGAGCTTCAATCTGGAAGGGAAAAGGTAAACCTGTGTAGTATGCTCTTGGTCGGTGAATTTTCGCAGTTCTCCTTCACTTAGTTATCGTGATTTTTAAGTAATTGGATTGCATACTTCAGCTGAGAATACTCCAACACGAGCTCGTATGCAAGGATACTGTGATCAAAGCAAAGAATTCGGAACTACAGGTACGTTTTTTCCCGCGACCCCGTAGTCAAAATTTTGGAATTGTTAGGCATGTAGATACCGACATCAAGTGTAATCAACTTGGCTCTTGGCTGACCAAAGGTAAATAAATATGTGTTAGATGTACGAAGAGATTTGCGGAAGGGGCAAGAATGCCACATCTATCCTTTGTTTATATGGGTGATAGAAACTGTTAATAAAGGGCACCAAGGTGGTGCAAACCCGTATAGAAAAAGAGCACAGCACCAAAGAGCTCATTTACGCGACAAATCATGAGGACCACATCTTTTTTAACTATCGATTATCTAAGTCTGCTTATTTGTATTTGTTTAGAGATTGGTCATGCTGCTGATCCTTAAATTAATTCACTGTGTTAGTGTATGTTCCTTCTTGGTGGATCGTTACATAATCAGAGGGAGGGTGCAACTTCTTGCTGTACAGTAGCAAATCCAAATGTTCTATCATGCTTCATGCTACTGATTCTCTTGCTTAAAGTTAATTCCGCAATGTTCTTTCTTTCTGAATATTCTTCTTCAGACCAGAAGACTAGGTGAGAGACTTAATGTGTTTTGACTTACTTGGTAAAATCAACTAAGAAGCATTTCAATCAGTCCATCCTGTCGTATGATTTTTGTTCAAGTTTTCTTTGGAGAGTGTCCCCATCTCCTCTTTCGGTTGTGCAGGGGAAAGGAGAGGTAAACTGTCAGAAGAAAGGTTCAAAGGTGTGCAAATTCAACCTCATTCTTTATCTAGCTTCTATACTGTTATTCATTTTTATTGTTCAATACAAATTGACATGCCGATTTCTCGGTAGATTAAGGAAGAAGAAGAAAAGGAAGCAACTGAATCCTTGCCAAAACCAGATGATAGAGCAAAACCTTGTAATCGTGACACGAAGCGCGGCCAGAAAAGCCGATGTAATTCCTCATCTGAAAGCTCTTTTGACTTCCTTTTTGCTGCATATTTTAGTGATGACCACAACTAATTTGGAAAAACAATTACAGCCATGGTGCCTTTCAGTACCAGCAAACAAGATGACAAGAAGGAGAAGGTTGAAAACAAAAGGTTGGTTTTGAATCCACGGGTCAACGGAATTGAATAGATATTCAATCAGTCTGTTGACGTGATAATGAATTATGCCTGGAAGAAAGTTACGTAAGTCAATGCATTTGGGACTGGAATCAAAATCTTATATGCATGTTTCTGTTTCCTTTTAAGGCGCTGTGTCAGGCGGCATTCAGCAAGATTCGAATCCCAAGAGCCAGAACCTCCAGAAAACTTGTTTGAGATCGAAACTGCTCAGTTTCCCATTAGCAAGCCCCTTGACATTAAGGAAGATAAGGAAGCTGCTCCAACCACATTCCCTTCCTCCTCCAGCAATAGGGAAGATAGGGAAGATGATTGTGCCTCAGAAGTCGAAGAAAAGCCGGCTAGAAAATCTTCGTTCGGTCGACCATCTCGCAGAGCAGCCGAGAAGGTCCACTCCTACAAAGAAATCCCGCTCAACATAAAAATGCGAAGATCCGAGTAAGCAGGAAGCCCGAAATTAACATTTCCCACCTCATTTTGTATGATATTAACTTGTGAAATTCTTGGATAACCGCGGTCCTATTATTATTGCTATCAAGGACTTCCATCCTCATGGAAGCTAACCGGGCCAGGTTCACGAAATCTCTTCTGTATTGTGAGTATGAATTTGTATGGAGTACAAAACTGATTTCATTGCCGATGTACTGTTTCGCGTAACATGTTTTCCGAATTCATTGAGATCACGTCGTTGATCTCGACCTTTTTTACAAATAGCTGTCCAGAGCTGAAAAATTCAATGTCCGAAATTTCCCAATCCTCGCATAGGCCGGCAAAATGGGTCACGTACCCATTTTATAACTCATTTTTAGGAAGCCCATATCTATTTGGGTAACTCACTTTTCTAAAAAATGAGCTCAAATGGATTAGAGAATATATAATGCCCAAAAAATGGGTTAAAATATGGGTCACCAGCTGACCCATATTGTAACCCATATTTTCTAAACCCACGACCCGCGTTACCTGCTCAGTGCTCAGGCGCCCATCCACGAACGACGCTTCGCTCCCAACCTACGCTTCTTGTTGGCCGCTCGCCGCGCTTCCTTCACCGCTCGTCGCTCGCCGCCTTGGCCGCTTGCCGCGCTTCGCCGCCACTCGCCACGCTTTGCCGCTCGTCGTTCGTCGCTTTGGCCGCTCGCCGCGCTTCGCCGCTCGTCGCTCGCCGCGCTTCGCCGCTCGTCGCTCGCCGCCCTTCACCGCTCGTCAGTGTTCCTGTTATTTCCAAGTACCCAAATCTCCCTTTCGACGAACAAGACGACCCACCGGGCGAAGACTAGGAAGGCGCCAGCGTCTCGGGGAGTCGGGAACGACCCGCGTCAATAGCCCCAGCTTTGGACGAGGACGGCCCGTCATCATCGCCTGATCACCAGCAATTGGCCCGATCGTTTCAGTCTCAAGGCGACAGGCTCGCTGAGGTGAATCGCAGTTCTTTTGCTCTTTTTGTTTTCTTGAAAATTCTGATGCTGTTCCGTTGAAGACGAATTTAAGTGGCATGTAAAATGGCTCACTACTTACCCACGATTGTTTTAGCCTGTCCAATCTGTCTGATTTGAGAGGTTGCTTACTGAGATTGTGCCGTTTTCGATGCGGGAGCTTGGAAAAAGATAATTGAAAAGCTAACCTCCATTCATTTGCAGGGGAAGTTTCTTCAAGGTCCTTGTTTTTTCGTTCTTTGGAACTTTGCTTTCCAAAGAAAGTGAATTGTCTTAATAATTTTTCAAATATGTTTTTGGTCCCTCTTTTCTTTGAGGTCCACTATGTTATTGGTGGTGGTGGCGATGGTAGGAATGGAATGAAATGTCCAATGCATATGTTATTTGCAGAATTGTGTTTCCAGCAGTGGAGTGGGCTGGGGTTGATGTGCTGAAGAGGGAATGGAATGAAATGATTGGGGATATGGAATTACATGAAACGATATGGTTATCATTTACTTGATTAATGTTGATTTGCTGAATATTAAGGTTTTTTTTTTCGCAATGGGGTAGACATAATAGTAAAAGCCCATAGTCCCATTTTGGTAATCTGAGCCTGAAGATCTTGGTCAATTTGTGCAACTTGTTTTGGGTGTTGTGATGCTCCTAATTGTGGACTCGGCAGCCTTCGAATTGGCTTTAAGAGTTTCCAACTTTACTGTTGGCTGCTCCTGGCTATCATACTGTAACATTGTTTGGGGAACTCGTGCCTCAGAGTCGGCCTTTAGCATTGGAGGACGCATTCTAAATAAATATCGTAGTTCCCTTTCGCCTGAAAATGTAGAGGCTGAGCTATGCACCAGAGATTGATTATTTGGAATTCCACTTGAGGAAGATTTCGATGACGAGTCTCTCATTGTCGACTTTCAAGACTATTTGCATTAGGTACTTTCTTTTATCTCATTCTCTTGGTTTACTCACGTGATTTAATGCAATTGATTGGCTAGAAGATGTGTGTATATACTTTCTTTTATCTCATTCTCTTGGTTTCCTCCTTCTTGTTTCTCATCTCAGGTTCGAAAGTTTCACTCACCATGATAATTTGTTTGTCGCACCGAGGCCTCTGAATCGAGCTTTCGTGGACGTGTTTTTGGCTAAGTTTTTGGTTGGAGTGTTTGTAGGGGGTTGTGTTCAAAACCTGGGTGGATGTGAATATAGTATGCGTTGATGATCAGGTCAAAAAGCAGGGGAAACAAGCTGATGCCACGTAGCTCCGAGCTCAACCAGATGCTAAATCTGAAGATGCTTCCCCAAGATCACTGATTTGATCATCTTCTATGCCTATATGTTTGTGCCGCACAACAAACTCATGGGAGTCTTCTATTTCTCTAGTTCCCCCGTGTGCAGGAAGCTGGTTGTCGGTCATGTTCACATGATGAGAGGCACAAGTTTCATTCAAGAAACCTTGGTTCTTGCAGGAGTGCTTCTGTAATGGATGTTAAAGTGCTTCCATTCTCTTTTGATAGATTTTTCTTTGGACTTACCATATTGACATCAACTACTTCATTTCCTGGTTCACAATCCGTTGTCCATCTTAAGGATGGAGTTTTTATTATTTAATTTGTTTTTTTAATTTGATGTGAAGTTTTTATTCTAATAACATATACATGTGAAGAGGTTAAAGTGAATTAAATGGATGGGTATGAGTTTTCCTAAATTATTAATGTGTTCTAGTAATATGGGTCGGGTCGGGTATGGGTCGGGTATGGGTCACTATATTTGCATTGCATGAAAATGGGTCAAAACGGGTTAAATGGGTCGAATATGGGTCGATCCATATTCAATCCGACCCACCCGTTTGACGGGTGTAGTCGTGGGCTTTGGGTTTTCTATGGATGAGAGATTGCCTACTAAGAAACATTCTCTTCAGAAACAAGCAAGAGACGTGTGGGGGCAATGACAAGAAAGCGACATCTTGCGCCAACCAGAGAACTTGTTTGCCGCTGCGAAAGGCGGAAACAGTTGGTTGTTGTTCTTTTTTTTTCATTCTGATGTGATCTGCCATGTGACTGGAGTTTACTTAGTCAAGAATTCGATTCTTCCATGTCCCGTCGATCACTCAAAGATTTTTTTTTCTATGCATAGTCTTGCCAATGCCAAACCAAAATCTGTCAGCGAGGCCTCCACTGATAACCCACAGTATTAGGAAGGTTCAACTTCAAAATATGGGGGAGAAATCAGAAGAATCTCATTTTCAATGTCCATTCAGATGGAAAGAGATGTTTCCAGTCGAACTACAAAAATTCTCCTCGATGATTATTTAAGTATTGAAATGTAAAACACGCTTTCTTCCGACGGATTAAACTTTTGAAACAAAACCTTACGCGATTATTGCCTAACTTCGTGCGGGCCATCAATCTAGGAAGTCCCTAAGCCATCATCTTGAAGAGATGCAGCCTCGGAAACGAGGAAAGGCTTTGAGCGCGAGAGTTCCGTCGCCTGGTGCAATGAAGCAGAGATGCACTTGGAGCCTCCGTGGATTCTCGCCCAAAGTTGCCTTGGCCGGCCGCCACAATCAATTGACTTTCCCCTGCATCATGTGGGACAAATTGTACGAATTGTAATAAAATTAAATAGCGGTTAACCGAATCTCTTTAAAGTGAGTAGTTCCCACCAACAGTGCTAAGCAGTTTCACAAACTATACCTCTCAAGATACAACACCTTGAACCTGTTTGAATTAGCACTATGTAAATAGGATTCTGTCGAACACTTCTTGAAACCGGCAAACTTTGATAAAAAATTGAAGGGAACTTCTACTCTATTCTCTATACTCTCTACGCTCCATGTACCCTATCTTCTATATACTTCTCTATGGAATGAAGAATAGTTGAATTCCATTTATAAAGTTTGAATGGATATGAACTGAAGAGACACATGAACTGAAAAGATACATGAACTCAAGAGATACATAAACTTAACAGATATATGTACCGAAGAGATTCCATTTCTATCATAGTCTTGCCAATGCCATGCCAAACTACACACAGTAGGAAGGTTCAACTTCAAAATATGGGGAGAAATTAGAAGAATCTTTTTTCCAACCTCCATTTAGATGGAAAGAAATGTTTTTAGTCGAACTACAAAAATTCTCCTCGATGACAATTTAAGTATTTAAATGTAAAAAACATGCTTTCTTCCAACAAATTAAACTTGTAAAACAACGACTAACAACCCCATGAAACTTTTACATGGTATCGCAGTGGGGGGTCATGAGTTTAAATATTTTCATGCCCCTATTTGTCTCTCTCATTATATATTTCCATGCTCTAGTCTTAGGCCAAAGTCCAGTCCAGGCTTGAGGAGGAGCGCAAGAGTATTTGAATATTATATTATGCATATATCAAATAGTTTAAGTTTTGAGAACGGTTGGGTTGGTAATAGTCACACAAATATTTACAAGCGTCAACTTTGGAGACGATAAAGTTGTGATCTATAAGTAAATATCGAATCGAGACAAGACGATCCAACGAACATACTAGACAAGAAATCCATTCAAGCATCGTTGTAGTAGAGGACAAACCGCTGTGCAAAAAAACAGATCAGGCTAACTTCACTCTTGCCACATTCTATCCCATTTTCTAGTGCTTTCTAGGGGTGAGCAGTTCTACGATCAGTTCAGGTTCCACCTGGAACCTACCGGTCGACCCAGATTCTCAAATTTTTTGAACCTAAAATCTACCATACATATTTTGGAACCTGGAACCTACCCTGCCACGTGTTTTAGGGTCTACCTAGGCTCCACTTGTATTTTTAATTAAACGATTGCAGTGAATCATCACCTCTAATAACTACAATTTGCTGTTACAATCCACTAGTCACAACTCATATTTAGACGCATGGATAATCTAAAATATTAATAAAGTAAAAGTCTCAATCATGGATATCGCCGAAAATAGAAGCTAGAACTCATATTTAGACTAGTGGTTCCGAATTACGCGCTCATCATTGGACGCCATGTAATACCGTAGGCTTGCCAAAGACATTGAATAAGAAAAACACAAAGACTTGTTCCAGGTTATTTTAAAATCTGGAAACTACCCATCGGAACTGATTTTCCAATTTTTAGAACTCTGAACTTACCCTGCATAACCCGGAACCATGCTCACCCCAAGTGCTTTCTACATATTGAATGCGGCCAGATTTCCCAGCCGCAAAACTCCACGGGTGCTTTAGAAATCCGCTTGCCGAATAGACGCGAGCCACAGTGTTTCGGCGCATCGACCAACACCAACCGATCGGTCGCGCATGTTCTCGCTAACCGGAACGACTTCACCATTGTTCTAAAAAATCCGTTCATCTTTTCCCAGCGGATTTCTACCAATTCTCATTTGTCACATATCATCTCACCATGCCAATCATCCCTTTGAAAAACCCACACAGTCGGAAGAACACGTGAATCGCCGAACCAACCAAAAACCCTAGAGTTTCGCTAGGCCATCATCATCATCATCATCTCGCCATCCGTCCCACTCACACAAGAACAATGGCCGGAACCAGCAAGAGAACATGGATCCCTCCTCCGCCGCCTCCGCGAGGTCTCATGCACACCACCGCCCTCCTCTCGTGTCCCGATTCGATTCGATTCGCTGCACGGCAACGAAAGGGGGAGGCTACTGTCGTTCTCGCACGAAAAGGAGCAGGAGGCAAGGCGAGGCCAGGCATGCCATGATTCATTCAACTACCGATAACTACTAATCATCTCTCTCTCTCCCCCACCGCTTCCACTGTGGAAAATCTAATGCACCGTGACAAAGATAGCCGTCGTTTTTATGCATTTAATTTAGACTTCGGGACCCAAAACCGCGTGGGGAATCACGGACTTTTGGAATAAAAAGTGGTGTATGAATGTATGTGTAGAGCAATCGCTTTCGTATAGTTCAAAAATGTTTCTTTTTTTCCTCGCTTGAAAACCTCCATATAGCTGTTAATTTTCTAGCCATATATGTCTTGTCTGGGAGAGCAAGACATGGCATGGATCACGGTTCATGCGGTCTAGGTGGTGTGAAGGGAACAAAAGAAAAAAAAAATGACATCGGTCGGGGTTGATGTCGAATCGGTACTTGAAAAACCGAGGCTTAAGATACGGCGGGGAAATTGCTCTCGTGGATCCTTGGAGTGGTTGAGGTGTTCCTCACAACAAGAGGATAGCAAGCTGTCTACGAGGGCCTCCGTAGCCTATCCGCTTGGCAAACAGGGATGACGGACTCCACATATGCGTTTCTCGTTTTAACGTGTCGATACCCGCAAGTGTAATTCCCCTCCCCCCCGAATTTTTGTCTCTCTCGAGAGGAAGGAATACCCTTTAATTATTTTGCAACCCGGTAATCCCGAGATCCGGACGAGAATCACGATGAAGCATTTTAAGGTCTTGCTTAGAACCAAGGTCTAGGTGGTATAAAGGAACAAAAGAAAAAATGACATCGTTTTGGGGTTGATGTCTAATTGGTCCTTGAAAAACAAGGCTTAAGATACGGTGGGGAAATTGTCTGATCAGAGTCATAAACCTATTGTACAGATGCCAACTTATTCCAAAACTTTCCGATTTTGCCAGTTTGATCCTAAACCTTCAAGCGAAATTCCAATCCAATCTTTCCGGCCAATTGGCAGAATCGAAAAGTTTATGAACGAACCAACATCTGTACAATGAGTGTAGGACCGATTGAGTAACTTTCCCAAGATACGACCGTC